GACGTGAACATCGATGATGTCATTTGCAACATAAATTATGACGTCACTTCATTGAGTTGGTGCTTAACTATTCGCTATCTAATTTTATTCGTAATTGAAATCGAAATTGAAATAATAAACAAATAAATACGGCATCTTGATTAAAGACTTCTTAGGGTATGAGATTACATTGTAGAATTCACATGCTGATGAAAATGAGAATATAAGCAATTGAAAAAAAGTCCGTTAAAAATGGGCGGGGCTTATTTTTGATATCAGGTTACTGACCTGATATCAAAAATAATTATCAGGCAAGACAGTGTTATCGGGCAGTTACCATAGCAGTTGCATGATAAAAATGAAAATACTACTACTTTTAATCATGATTTTAACATGAATTTATATCTTGCGACATTTAACGGTAGTGTTGCGACATTTAACGGTAGCGGAAATTCGTGCGACATTTAACGTTAACATTGCGACATTTAACGGCAAATGATTTTGCGACATTTAGCTGCAGTTGCGACATTTAGCGGTATTGGTGCGACATTTAGCGGTAAGTGCGACATTTAGCGGCGTTGCGACATATAACGGCGCCACATACGTTTTGGCAAATTCGGCGTAACTACATTGTACTAATTCACATTGTGCTACGGGATAAATATGCAATGTTAATTAATTATAGCTTGGGCTTAAGGAGCATCATTTTCTGTATTGAAAAACTTAAACAGCCCCTTTCAAAGTATATGCTTTGCGTATAGTATTTATATATACTACATATAATTATAACAAAAGATATGTACATGTACGTGTAGTGATATTTTAAAAATATGTTCAACGCTCATAACAATATGAAAACAACCGGGCGACCATGGCAGACTTCATAATTATGTTCATAAGAATATCTTAAATCGTTTAAAATAGTCCATTTTCAAATCCTGTCCTGTTTGGAAACTTTGTCACATCGCAGAACATTTAAAAAATGCAGTCTCCATGCTGATAAAATATTCTTCATCTACACTACGTCTATTGTAATTCACGTAAGCCTATTTTAAGGCGGACAGACGATCAGGACCGGGTTGTTCAAAACATTGGTTAAAATTAACCAATGGATAGCTTATCCACTGGTTAAATCCTAAACCAACGGCCAGCTATCCAGTAGATAAAATTTCATTGTTCGACAGTTGGATAGTACACTGGCTACCTATCCAGTGGATAGCGTATTTATCCACTGGTTAAGTACCACAATGCAACAGGGTTGGTTAGTGATTCTGGAAACAAAATGGCCGATTTTTTGATGAATAATAATTTTTTTAGAATTAAAAAGCTCCCAAAGAAATAATTTTGCATGTTTGTGCTTTCTTGTTTTTGGAATTAAACAACAAGTATATCAAAGGCCTTAAAGTATCGATACGTCTCTTTTCCCGTAGACACACATAAGAAAAAAATCAAAAACAACTTTTTTTCAAATTTTGAATTGAAATTACTTCCATTAGATGAGTAATGTTCTAACTAAGAAAATGAGTACTGACACTTGTATGTTTTATTAAAAAATAAGAAAGTTATGACTGTTTAACTGAATTTTCTGAACTACAACAACAACACATTTAGATTGAAAAATGGTTCTAAAAGCACTTTTTCAGAAATGTTTGAATTTAATCCTATGCATTTCATATGAAATGTTCTAGTTAAGAAAAAATTAACTCATATTTGTAAGAAAAATCTGGTTTTAAACAAGTTTTAATGATTTTATCTATGACTAACCACTGGTTAAGGGCATTATCCGGTGGTCATAGGACTGGTTAAAGTTAACCGCTGGATAACGCATTTTATCCATTGGATAAGTTTTGAGCAACAGAATTTAACCAACAGACAAAATTTAACCAGCGGATAATGAATTTAACCACTGGTTAACACTAACCAATGTTTTGAACAACCGGATCCTGACGTTTATAACGTAACAATACGTCACTGATAGTATGACGTAGTTAGCGACGCGTATATAGCGTTGTTTCTATGAAGAAAGCGGCAGTTTGAAAAGTTATCAATTGCAAGAGCGGCTTTGATTAATAGAAAAAAAAACAAAAACAAAAAAAAATGTATAATAAAAATGGATAAATCGTTAGATAAAGGTAAGAAAGTTTAGTTTACTGCAATACATTTGAATATGTTCCGGTATTTTAAGATATAATCTATAATATTCCGCGCTGTTGCAGATATGTGTGTCTCTTTCGCCGTTGAACTTTCATTGTCTTTTCATATATATTAAATTACATTTTGTCTATACGATTCAATGTTTTATTTTCAATTATGTTTTATTGACAATAAATGTGTGGCAATTATGCATTTATTCTGAATTTTGTCAACCATATATTTACTGTACAGTATGCTGTTTAGAATTCTTGTAAAACAATAATATTGCAAGCATGTCAATGCAATTACACGGGATCAGATCTTAAATTAATAAATTTTAATTATCTATATGTATAAACGTAATCCTTTATTTTAGATGCTATTGAAGATAAACTGATAATAATATATGTGATAGAAAAGAAAAAAATCCTAGAACAAAAACGATTCGCATTGTAAAAGTTTTGAATAATCTTTTACACTGAAATGTCATAACTATTCTACATTCTGTCGTTATCAAGAAAGTGCTTTATTTTAGGTCCAACCGCGGCGGATTTCGAGGAACTGACCATTCTTCTGCAGAACAGAGCTTTCGTGGATTATCTCAATATTTTCCTTTGTCTGCCTGTAAGTAACATACATGTACTTGTATACTAAAAACTTACATAAACTTAATATATAATTGACAACTATACATCCTCATTTGAAGCAGAATTTTAATTTGTTATTGGTTGTTTTCATTTAGAAAACATTTACTGAATATTGCTTTGTTTTTATGGTCAATTATTTCATATATCCTCTTTTATGTGGAACTGTGTATGTATAAGTAAGTATTTAATGTGTATAAAGCTATATATCTGCTGCAAAAATTATTGTTTGAATTTTAAACAAGAAATAGTTAATAAAAGATACTCAGACGAGATAAAACTGCTTTTGCTTGCATAGGTTGTTTCGAGGTTGTTTTTTTTATAGCATTTAAATGATTAGATTTAGGAAACAGTGCAAGATATGTTTCTAAATGACGTACATATATGTATTCATGTATATATTAATATATGCTTCATTAATATTGATAACATATGAAAATTATGAAATACATATGAATTAAACACATCAATAATTATAATACCACAAACGCTGGACATACTGAGAGTAAAGGAAAGGTCGAACTTTTATATTTCGTGCCTTTCAGTATTTTTATGTACAGAATTTTCAGGATTGTGAGCGTTATTGGTAGTCTCATCATTTTGAACAAGGAGGACTCAAATATCCGAGAAATTTGACTAGGATTAGTTAGGAAGTGAGGAAAGTTAGGAAATTTTAAAAGGACCAACGGACATGCTACCTTTATTCTCAGACGAACTTCGGCTGAACAAAAAAAAGAAAAAGAAATTGAATATCATTTATACTAAATGTCTTATGTTATTCGCTAGAGAATTAACAAAATCTTAAAAGCAGTTTCTTATGTTGAATTAGGTATTCACTAAAAATTATAGAATTCTCAATTTATAATGTCTTAGGTTTGATAAGGTATAAAAATTAACAAAGTCTTAGAAGCAGTTTCTTATGTTGAATTAGATATTCACTAAATAATCAAAGAATTCTAACGAATCAATTGTTCCCGAAACTCCTTTTGATTAATTAATTTGGATAAGTATACGTTTCAAAAAATATCCTTTTATCATTTTACTAATGTTAAAAATGGTCAATGAGATTTTCTGATTTCAGTTGCAATTTTAAAATGACCAATGAAAAAAATCCTGTTTATATTCAGTTCAATACCGGAAGTCAACCCGGTCTCAGAAGTTCTCAGTCCGAAAGCAGATTACTTTTAAAATGCTTGTATGAAATACATACGAAAGCAAATTCCATTAAAAGCGAAATGCACATGCACGAAATCACTGCCTAAAAGATAAAAACATTCTAAAAAATGCTGTTTTTTTTTTTGTTCACAACACTCTACATGGAGAATAATATTTTGTTCCGAAACATTTTATTATGTTTACGTACAATATTCAAGTGTATTTAATATATTGTAACAAGTCATTCTATTTCTCAACTCTTTCTAGAATCAACCATTGGATTATGGAACAAATAAAATTTTACTGTTGTTAAAATTAAGATTTTTTTTTTACAAAAGATATAGTTTTATACAAATCTCTCCGGTACTCTCAGCTATCTATGTCAAAGAAGTGATTGATGCCTTCAATTGGTATAAAGTTTATTACTTTTATAATTAATGAACTTGACTGTCGATGACATGGGTCATTTATATTTTCCTGGTCTAAATTAGATTTCAAATGATACAGTTACATTATTGTTTGTCGTTACAGTGGCACGTATATTTCAATGAAAATTTCTATACATTTGTTTTTTACAGGTTTTTGGTCAGCACGTTCTCTATAACTTCTTAGAACTGGAATTTGAGTTCGAGCCTCCGATTCAAAACAGACGACATGTAAGTAGTAAATAACAACGCATGAAGGTCAACATTAAAGGCACATTATGCTTCAGAAACAAATGAATTTTTACTTCTCAAGAAAGGTCAAACATGAATTTTTTAAAGTTTAAATAATGGTTTTAGATGCTTGTTAACGAAGGAAAATAGCGCTAAATTTGTCATTAAAGTAGTAAAATGTAGATAAAGTAATATTTTGACTTCAATACACAATACCAAATCAGTATAACTGTAGTAATTGCCAAAGGCAACATATGAAAAAGGTAGATCAGATAATTGGCCAATGAGAAGATGTTTGGAAACTATGAAAGTATAGCAAGTATAAAAAGCTTTTGAAAAATAAAAAAATAAAGCTTTTCTTGGGCATAATGGGCCTTTAACCAAGTATAATGCCAAAGAATTACATCCAAACCATTGAGATTATGCGAAAGAAATACACCTAAAACATTTGAGGAAATGCAAAAGTAATACATCCAAACGTTTGAGATAATGCCAAAGAAATAAATCTAAACAACTGTCAAAATTCTACATCCAAAACATTTGAGATGATGCCAAAATGCTACATCCGAAATCTTTGTGATAATGCGAAAGAAATACACATAAAATCTTTGTAATACATCCAAATCTTTGGGATAATGCCAAATAAATGCATCTTAAACGTTGGGCATACTGCCAAAGTGCTCCATCCAAAATCTTTGAGATAATGCCAAAGTGCTGCACCTAAAATCTTTGTGATAATGCCAAAGAAATACACCTAAAACCTTTGAGAAAATGCCAAAGAAATGCATTTAAAACGTTGGACATACAACCAAAGTGCTTCACCTAAAATCTTTGTGATAATACTAAAGTAATACATCCAAAACCTTTGAGATAATGCCAAAGAAATACATCCAAAACCTTTGAGATAATGCTAATGAAATACACCTAAAATCTTCGTGATAATGCCAATGGAATACACCTCAAATCTTTGTGATAATGCCAATTGGTTATTTTTGTTTAGGTACAAATCCAAATAAAGATTTTCTATTTAACTTATCACTGTAGCTTTACATGGACAAAAGGGAAGTTTTGAGATGGCTGTGTACAGAAAGAATGCCAAAATTCAAGAAATCTGGATTATACACGGAATATTGCTTATGCGTGCTCCTACTAGACTCAAAGTTCGAGCTTGCTGGTGTGAACCTTGAAAGTACGTAAATTGTATATTATCACATGATATTGCTTCTTTAATGAAATATTACATATTGATGTTTTTGGCTGACTTGATGGTTACCATCATGTATATTTATGCAGTACGTTTACAATTTCTTGTATTTTACCGCACTTACAGGAAATGGTATCAGTCAGCTGCGTTCATTGAATGCCGCCTTTACGTGTGAACCTTTGTTCCCATATTGTATAAATGCAAATTTTGTAAAATATCTTCATGGCTATACACCACTAAATTATAGCATTTCATACAAACTATAAAAAGAAACACAAATTAAAACAAAACTTAAATTTGACCATCTATTCCATTTCGAAACAGATACGTTCACTGTTTGCAAATAGACTTTTGATCTCTTATAGAATTATTATACTTTTATGTTCACTGTTATAACAAATCTTATTCATGTCTGTCTATGCTCAGTTCTAGATCAGGCTACTGTTTTGTATAATAAAAGTTTATACAAATTTAAAAATACATGTACGTTAAGGCTCTGAAAATGTAATTTGAACAAAAGTTTGATATAAGCTATATTGTGGAACGGGTTTTGACTTGTTATAAAGGTCATCGTTGAGAAAATCACTTTTCATATTCAGTATATATTTATGTATGTACATGATAAATAAATTAATGTATTTCCTATGATGATGATAAACAACCTCAATCGGAACACCACACTGATTATCAATAATCATCTCGGATACGATACGATTAAAAGTAGTTCTTTTGATGTGATGAAGATGATGTAGTCGTCTTAGAATGTATTTTTTGAGAACCGGTTGAAATATAGAATAATTAGTTAATATTATTTATTAAATCAAAAGAATTCGACAAACAAATCTTAAATATCGTCACCCGGAGTTTTCTTAGTTGTACTTTTGGTGTCTAAATAGATAATGTGTTTTTTTAATTTTATACCTATAAATTTACTTTGTTAAACGATATGATGGAAAGTCTATGTCGACAAATTCAAGTATTTATTTGCTACAAACAAGCATTTGTTTACATGTTTAATTTTTATAGCGTATGTATGGACGAAATACCATATTGGGTCTGTGTATTCATACATTACTATTGTATTCGAGGTTATGATCTTACGTTTGACGGCATGTCCGTGATGTTGCTTTTTAGATAGGCTGGGTTACCGAATAAACACATTTTTACAGACACAGGCACCTTTGCAAAAAATGTCATTGGAACAGCCACAGGAATGATGCTGTTCCGTGAATCCATGAGAGGCACCTGTGGGGAAAACGTTTATAGGTGTTGGAAGGATTTAGAAGAGTGGAAACGTACAGAAGATCCAGTGCAGAAAATGTACCGGGAATATGCTATAAAAAACCATTACATCAATGAAAGCAGTACAACAAGGGTAGCTGGGAACATAAAAGTAAAAGCTTTATATGGTAAGTTATTACCTTGTTATTAAGTTATCTTATACATTTTTCTCCATGAATGAGTAAGAACTCTTAATCAATGACTAATTTGATGTAATTTGTTATACTCTCTGTAGAAATGTTTATAATTTATTATTCGATTGTCGATTATATTTGAATATCTCACAACCTACCTTTATAAAACATTTCGTCAAAGAACGGGTATTGCCGCAGAAAAAGTAACAGCAAATACCGAAATCTTGCCTTTAAAGAAATATCACACTTTGTTACAGGTATATTAAAATTTGACCTAGTTCCTGAGAATGAAATTCAACAGAAGATAATGGAGTCTGTGACAGACACCACGTTCCACGCTATGATTGAATTAGACACGGCTTTGTTGAAGTTGCAGACGATACTGCTAAACGCACTCAAGTTTTACTGGCTACCGAGACATCTTTTGCATACTTTAAAAGTGGTGAACAAAGTAAGTTTAAGTACATTATATCATAAAATAACATTATAAAACTATTATCATGTAATATATGTTCTGCCAAAAACAAACATAAGGTTTTGATATTAATTTCAGTCCAAGAAGATTGCAGTATTTCAGACGAATCATAACAAATTTACTTTGGTAAATCGGCAAACTGTAAAAATAAATTCAAACACTAGGCACTGCGCTGTTCATGACCAATTTAGTTTTGTAAATGCTTACTAATAAACACTAACCTATACTAACACACCGGCAGACCAAAAAAAAAAACAAATAAAAAACAACAACACACAAGCAAATATATAAAGAAAGACACCAAAATAACGTTTAGACGGTGAAGCAAAGTCCAGGTTATAAAAATTATTTCCTGAGTTTTAGCTCAAATCTCAGAATTTTCATTGGTCAGTGTACATTCTGTGACGGTTATTGACCAATCAAATACCTAAAAGATATGAGTTTGAGTTTCAATAATTTCTATATATATAGCCTCGGACCCTTTAATTTGTATATATATAAATCAGAATAACAGATGGCTATATTTATAATACACGTACGTTTTTTCTTCAATTCTAGGAAGGTCTTGATATTTTAAAGAGGCCTGCACCGGTTGACAAAGAATCACTGGAACATGCACGACGACTTCGTTGTCGGTACAAATTCCCAACGATTTATCAAAATTCAAGGATAAGTTCACCGGCTTCGACGGTATTAGTGTCAAGGTCAGCAGGCGATTTTTCATCGCTTTCCGATGAGGACGTTGAACGAATGGCCGAAACAAAAATTGACCCAGCTGATCTTTTGTCGCTGTGGGGAGGTATAAAACATTTGTATATGTAACAGGGATTTATAACAGGCAATGCGATGTTAACACATGCCATGTGATATTATTGAAGAGCCTTTCTTCTGTTATTATTGATCAAAATGATTTTATTAAGTATTTTTCCATTGCTGTGACAACAGGGTCTTTTAAATTTGAAAGACCCTGAGGAAAATCAACAATTTATTGAATGATATTAATATCACATTAATGCAATAACTGGTTAACTCCAATAAAATTTTGAAGGACTTGATCCGTTGCTGCACTAAGGTGACGAAATTTAACGTCTCCAAAACGATATAATCTCATTCGAACCCACAACAACATTTGTCATTTCATGCAAATTGTTATATATAATTATTGTACTATTTGTTAACCTAGGCGTAATATTTGTTATATATTCATATATCAAATCTAAGAATATAATCAAAAGAGCGTGTTCATGTATGCATAATGGACAGCACAAAACTATGTGTTTATACGACAGGTCCTGTTAAATTTCCTCCTTTACGGACACCCTCTCCATTTCGACCGGATATTATTTGTTCCGAGAACGGAAGTGGCGACCAGAAGCAGCTTCCGACTGCTGTAATAAACAGGGATGCATTTAAAAGTCCTCCAAATGTCCTTTTGTCTTCGTACCTTGGTGGAAAAGCACGGACGGAGATTGGCAATTTACCGGAGACTGGCAATTGGATGGTCTGGTGTCTTGGGTCTGATACGCTCGCATGCTGCCCGTTCCGAACATTTCTGGAACGAAACAACCAGCATCAACATCTGCAATACTTGGGATTCTGGACAGATATCAGAAAATATCTGGACACAGATGATCATGTTACTAACGGATATGGTCAACCAATGAGACAAATGCTTGTTAACCGGTCAGTATAAACTTGTTACACGTATTTCTGCACATAACCATTTACGAAGCATATTGATAAATCGTGTATTTACTTTCCATGCGTGGTTAATTAATAACTGTTTGTTTCTCAAGTGCAATATCTAATTGTCTGGGTGAAAGGTCATGCATTGTTTTTGTTTGCGAGAACCATGTGTGGAATTTGTTCTAAAAATAACATTGCATATGTCTTCTGGTATATATTTTTGAAAAAGAAAAACAATAAAAAAACAACCCATATTACTTCTTCGTATAGAATGTATTATTAACCTCTAGAACCTTTTAAACGATTTTTTTGAAGAATATTGTGGCTTGCTATCAAATATCCAATTTACAGATGTAATTTTGTATTTCTATTAGGATAATTGGCAAGTATTTATCTGGCGACGAAGGAAAGCGGGCCGTTTTTACCAAAAAGTTGAACAATTCACTGCTTCACGCTTTACGTTCATCTAATAATGTATCTACCCTCTGTGAAGCCCAGGAAAAAGTACAAGACGTAAGTAACCGCTTGGTTTCTAAATCACATTTGCTCCTCAAACATTACCGTTGAAACGTTATTAAATAGATTAAACAGTATTCCAATACATGCATTATACTTAAGTGTCGTACAATGGTGAACCTACGCTGTCTGAACGAAATAATATTATCGAAGCATATACACTGTACCTGAAAATTTCTTTATACAGTCACAAAATAGATAAGGTAAAAAAGTTGGTAATAGAAATTCTGTATTTTCAAACTTATGAGTCAACTTCACGGGGGTGGAACCACATACGGTTTTCATATGTGAATTTCCGCTGATTCAGATGTGCGCTGTAACACCGCACTTTGGGGTCAAACGCACTTTGGGGTCCGACCCCAAAGTGCGTTACGTACTTTGGGGTCCAACCCCAAAGTGCGTTACGCACTTTGGGAACTAATTTCGACCCCAAAGTGCGTTAAACAGGTACATGCATTTTTTAACATCAGGCAAACGACGCACTTTGGGGTCAGAGAAAATTTATGTTCATTATGTTTTAAATAATATAGTGTAGTCAAACCAATTGTAAACTTGTAAACAAAAAATCAAGGTATTAAATAGACACAAAACATGTGCCCTGAATCAGTAGGGATTTAAATGGTCTTGATAAATAAGTGAAGGACTTTCACTAAATTAATCACCAAATAAAGAATTTGTATCAATTATTAAGCTTAAAATATATTTTTCTCAAATTTTCCATTTATTTTAAAAGTATGTACACCTTTCATTAGCTCCATTGTTTTTAGCTTAATGCAATCATTTTCCCGTTTGTTATTTACACTTTTTTACAGAAATATGATAGTCTTAGCATAGACAAAGGGTATAAATTCTGGGTAATCTTAGTAAGACATTTCAGTAAAAAAAAATGCCTGATAATATATTAAAATAGCCATTTATTTAGATAAATGTGACACATAAGAAACTTGACTAGGTGTAGATGCGGCTTTAAGTAGAAGTCCGTGCAGGCTGTACTAAAATATCAACTATTTAAGTAGTCGCATTAAGAACGGAGCTTCAGAATAATGTAAAATTCTCTCTGGGGGTATAGAGGGGAGTGTGGGGTATCGTTCCCCCCGAGTGTTAAAAATAACATTTTAAAGGCCCATTATGCTTTTATTTGTTTTTCTTAAAAGCTGTTTGATTTGGATGTTCTTTTATATTATGAAAAATACACATTGGTCAATTACCTCAACCATCCTTTTCATCTGTTGCTTTTTGACAATGATGAGTACAGTTATAGTGAATAAGTATTTTATATGGAAATACTACATTGTTTTTGACTATTTTTATGAAAAATAATTTTTCACATTTATCGCTACTTTATTCAGGTAACAAGCATCTTACATTTCTCTGATACCATTATTTTAACATTATAAAATTCATGTTTGCTCTTTCTAGAGAAGTATGCAAAATTTCCTATTAAAAAAGCCTCTGGCGAACGGTTGTTAAACCTCTTAAGTGTGTTGATACGTTTAATAATGTATTTGTAAAAATCACTATTTATAGTCCGATCGAAAAACTTGATGTTTCACCAGAACATTGCAATAGAGTATATTTATAGTTCTTTGGAAATAAAATTTAACTGCATTTTATTTCATTTCCAACATATTTAAAAATGGGCTCAACATGGCACCAAAAGTTATCAAGTAAATGACTGACAGAACGGGATATTTTTCGCAGCATCTTTTAACTTTAGGAATACACAATTTCTGTACTAGAGTAATTTGAACGGTGGCATAAAAAAGACATTTGCAACTTTTTTTGTTTTTGATACTTTTTTTGTTTTTGTTTTTTTCTTACATATTTTTGGTGTTTTTTTTTGTTTGTCGTACATATTTTTTTTATAGTTTTGAATACATACTTTTTTTAGTTTTGCATACATATTCTTTTTTAGTTTTGCATACAAATTCTTTTTCAGTTTTGCATACATATTTTATTTGAGTTTTTTGTACATATTTTATTTTTTGTTTTGTTTTTTACTTTTTTCGTACAAAATTTTACATGAAGCCATTTGCAAAGTAGAGGTTTGGATAATTACGCCATTTGTAAAACACCAGTTTCGCCATCTGTAAATTACAGTACCCCATTTGCAAACGCCATTTGCAAATACCAATATTTTCATTTTTGGTACACTTTTTAGTATGTATATATATTGTTTTCTAAATCAGTGAAATATAACGACCTATTTAGATCTTTTATTTTGCATTATTGTAATACACCAGTCATTTGTAACCACCTCCCTTGCCCCAGGGGGAGTGCGGGTTAAAAAGGAATCGTGTTTTGATGTCTGCACTGTTCCGGGGCATAAGGCAGGAATGTTATTATCTGAATATCCCCCGCACAGGAAAATATTTTACCAGTGGTCGGCTTGGTTTAAAGTCAATGCCCCCGCTATTCTCAGGGAGTGGGGTTGAGTTGTGCAGCATATTCATGGAATAATAACCAATCAACAGCCCTTTCCAAATAGACACTACTATAATAGCATATAATAATTAAAAAACAATAATTATATAAAATACATATGATTTAAAAAATGGACCGAAAAAGGTCGGGCGAAATCCAGACTTGCGCAGCCAAAAACGACTGGACCGATTCCAGAAATGAGCCAAAATGTGACCAAACCACTGCGCTAGTTATATACTCAACTATGGACTGTTATTAGATGTGAAGGCTGTTTTGTTGGCTAACATATGTACGAAAAATTAAAATATGTACGCAAATCTACAATAAAATATGAATGCAAAACTAAAAAAATACTTAAATAAAAAAATGCAAATGTCACTTTTATGCCACCGTAATTTTGTTATATAAACACAATTTTTGGATATTTCAAGTGGTAAAATTAATGAAACTTTTATCACTTAAGCATCATCAAAGTATTGACCGCCATCTTGAACTCCATCTTAAATATTTCAATGTCGCAGATCGAAAATAAGTCAGTTCTCAGTATTTAAGCAGAACTCAGATTACACCTTTAGATCTCTGGAACCCAAAGTGCGTTGATATGTAGCATATTAACGCACTTTGGGGTCAATTTCTCGATTTTGACCCCAAAGTGCGTTTGACCCCAAAGTGCGGTGCGAAGTTTAACGCACTTTGGGGTCGGACCCCAAAGTGCGTTTGACCCCAAAGTGCGGTGTTACAGTGCGCCATATAAGTAAGTGAAAGAATTGCTTAAATGGCCTATACATTACAGGTTACAACTAGTGAGACTGAAATTGCTTTATAAATACACGTCAGTGGTCAAAGAATTGTGTCTTAATCGGTCAAATTTTACATAAAATTGCAGAAAATAATATATGACGTTAAATTTTTTTTTTCAGAGACCTTTCCTTTCATTACACTCTAATAATAAGCTATTTTACGCTTCTATATATAAAGGGCCATTTGCGCATTGCCACAAGTGAGTGCGATGTTTAGGTCCCAGCGATGGATTTGATATTAATGGCAGATAGATGTCCCATGTTAATTTTCTATGCTGTAGTTGTTTTGTTTTTACCTTTTATCACAGTACTTATGGGAGCCACTGCAAATGTTCTTGCAAGAAGAAAGACATCAGTTTCTGAAACAAATAGTGAGTGTTTGACTTTTAAAATAGAGTGACGGTTTTATAAATTGAACCTTTAAATTGCTAATTCTAATACATGTAACTTTTTTACTTGATAACCAGTGTGACATAAGAATACGTACATAACGCAATTCATTTATTTCAATCATATATAACTGTAATGTATTATTTTTGTAGCATGGTCACAGCAACAGGCTACCTCAAGAAACAAACCAAATGGCAGGCACAGCAATGCTAAGGTCGGCCAGAAATGTGATGAATGCTGATTCTATGCTTTCATTTAACTGGGGGACGAAATATGTGGAAACTGAGCCTTTATCATCGTTATCGCCATTTTCTCCCACAAGTTCCATAAATCCTTCAACATTAACACCGCCACGTCCGTCAACAACAGATCACGTGAGCATCACTGAAGAACAAAAACAGAAAGCAATGGAAATGGCTATATTATGCTGCGAATATGGTAATATGCTTGAAGACTTATAGATGAATAGTCGGAATTCATGTTTATTTGTAATGCTAATCTAGGCCATTGGCCCAAATACACAATATAATTTCAAACTGATGTACATCTGGTTATGTCACAAGTTATAATATGAAATACAGTAGCATATTCCATAATAATGAACTGTGTACAACAAGGTAAAGGAAAGTACTTAGTACATAGGGTAATGCAACGATTCGTCACAATATGGACCCGCAACATAACAATTAGCCACAGAATAATCACGAAAATTGGCATTGTATTATCCAATTTCATGAAATGAATTTCACAGCCAGTTGTCAACAATACATTAACATCCTATTTCAGTTTAAATATATTCAGAGTACTTCGAGGGGTGATAAGAAAATAATAACGCAATTGTCTTTTGCTGAATACACCTATTCAGGTTGCTTGTTCAAATAAATTTTTATAGAAGATCTTGTCATAATGTCAAACTGTTTATATTGCAACGTGCGCCCCCAGTGGGGCAAAGATTTATATAAGAGGCTGACTATACTGGACTAATTTATTATTATTATTTTTTTTTTTTTTTTTTTTTTTTTTTTGGGGGGGGGGGTGTATTTAGGCGTTGATATTTCCCTGGTAGCGGGTAGACTAAAATTTAATTTTCTTAAAAGATTTACTATTGAAAATTTACTTAATCGGCAAAAATGATGCCAGAAAGTGTTTAGTACCTAAGTTTCTGAAGAAACCTGGTGAAATAATTAAAAAAAATGCTGCTACTAACGGTTTGTGTTAAATTTAACCCGGAGCATGCGCAAAGGATCGTCTTAACCAAAAACTGGGCATGCGCCTTACGTACAACAACAAAAACAAAATGTAACAAAAATAAACTTAAACAGTATGTATTAAAAATATTAAGTTCTAATGCTAGAACACAACAGTATGTACAAAAATAAACAACAACATAAAAAGTCACATGTTTGCTCGTTATCAGGCCAAATTGGCATGGTAATATTACGTTGTTATACAATACATAAAAGTGGTTTATAATTATTTAAAAATGTTATAATTACCAAATAAAAATTGTAAATTACATGTATTGTAATTTTTATCATTCATGTAAATAAAATTAATTTTTAATATTTTTACAATAGTTCAAGGTTGTAAATAATTATTTTTACATATAATTATACCATAACAATAAAGTCACAATATATTACGCGAATATACGAGATTTAACAATATTACAGTGTCATGTTATTTCTAACAAACCGAATATAATTCATTTAATGATTTCGTCGGAAAAAAATAATTACATTTTCACGTCGTCTATTTATAGGTTTTTACTGAGTACATAAAATGAATGTGGAAAAGAAACATATGTGTTATTGTTATTGTAGGCGTGTCTATGATGGTACCAGAGAAAATACCCAGTCTATCAAGACTAGTGGCTGTTCTACACAGTGACTATGGCAGTCTGCATTTGACTAGAGAAGCAACTGTTCGACATGGTAATTGTTTGAAGTCTCGTAAATTGGCGAAATGTTTTCTTATGTTGGTATCCTTGTACATGATCTGGCCGAGATCAAGTGGCATAGAGATTAAAAACGCGTATGATTCAACTTAATGAATAAAAGAATGACATTAAGCAACAAGTAATACGTACCTTTTTATTTCAGCATTTACGAAAATTTAAGTTTTAATTTACCTTTCCGACACTTTTTTTTCTAAATTAATGCAATCCGCTCTTTTATATATGGTTAATAGGGAAGTAGAAAAAATCTATATAACGATTTCATTTAGATTTGCAGCCCGCATAATCATTTTTTGTTGTTCTATTTATAGATGGGCTAAGAAGCCTCCAAAACAAGGAAAAGATTAACATTAAAACAATAAAAGTGTCAAGAAAGGTTCTAGATGACACAATCGACATTTCTAAATTACAAAATGGAAATCTGATGCGAAGACGGGCTGGAGTCCGTTTAGAGAGGCCAAAAAAACCAAAGTAAGAAAAGTAACATAAGTTTATCTTAATTAACGCCTTCCCTTATGAGCATATTGGGAAAAATGGTCGTTTACGCTGAAAAGCCTCCTGTTACAAGTTCAAACTGCTATGAAACTATGAAAAATGTTTCAATACCGGTAAAACTTGGCACAAATGTTGACTGGACCATTGCCTCTGTAACAGCATGTTCAATCTTAAATTTCCTTTACCATGGCAACGGGGAGACGTCTCAAAATTGCCAAAAAAATACTATTTTGCATTGATTTTTCCATCAAAACTGATTTCAAAGTGCTGCAACTTCTCAATGCATTGAGATGGAGTAAAAGGCTTTTCAGCGTTGGTTACACGTTACCTTACGATCGACCTGAGGCCATTTTAAGTCTGTCACAAATTTTCTTGGCGATGAGGGGGGAGGGTGCCACCTCTTCAAAACCCCTTCTGGCAACCCCCGTAATGTACCTTTTTGATAGGAGGCGGCGCCGAAAAAAGTGATCACATTTTAATAACATTTCCAAAACGAAAAAAATGTGTGTGGGGCCTAAATAGAGTATTTTCCCAATTTTTGAGGCCTCAAAAAAAGGAGGGGTTGGGGTGGGGTCGAAAAGCCGTCAAATCACGTCTATATGAAGTAAAGGGTTAAGTAGAGATCATGTGCGTCTTGAATGTTTTGCGATGCAAGTCTGCAATCTTAATTATTCTTACTACATGCGCATGTACTATGAAAATATTTTATTAAAGGTACATAATGCCTCAGAAACAAATAGATTTTTACTTCTTTTGAAAAGGCAAACATGAATTTTAGAATGTTTTAATAATGTTTTTACAGAATATTATATGCTTGGTACGAGAAGAAAGTAGCGATACATGTAAAATGATTTGCCAGAGACGTAGCAAAAAGTAAAGAAAGTAGTATTTTGACCTTCATACAAAATACTAAATCACTATGACTATACTTATTGCCAAAACAGCAACAGCTGAAAAAGATGGTTCTGGGCATTGGCCAATGAGTAACCTTTTGGATATTTTAAAAGTACAATAAAATAAAAGCTTTTGACAAATAAAAATAAAAACATTTCGGAGAGAGTTTTCAAAAAAGCTTTACAAGCTTCCTACTCAATCCGTAAATTTTATTTTATGTACTTTATTATGTAAATGTGTGAATTATAAATAAAATATTGTTTAAACTAAAACATTTCTGAGGCATAATTGGCCTTTAACATGTCATATTCTCGTATTAATTCGTTTCTATATTCAAAACTGCAGGTCACTGATGGAGGTTTTCTCAATACCAGCTCAATTTGACTTCTTCAAGAGATTTATGCTGCTGCAGAAAATGAGTTTACCAGTTGTGTTTTGGAGAGCAGTTGAAGACCTTCAGGAAGTTAGCGACAGAAAAACTACGCAAATCAAAGTTACAAAAATTATGCGCAAGTTCTTTGGGAAAAACGCCAAATATGGTTAGACTTTTTAAATTGTTCTAAACTAACATAACATTGATGGGAAAATCATAAAAAAAAATTGAAAAATACATTGCAATCTAGTCCTTTCATATTGATACATTAAAAACAAGCCGCAAAAATACATTTATATCTTTAATTTTGGACTATATAAACAAACTATTTACATGGCTCTGCTTGCGTTTCTGTTAGAACTGACAAAACCCAAGAACAACAACCATTATTGAGACCATCGTTTAGCATATGTTTAATGTTTAGCACATTATGTCTCAGTTATATAGGGTTAACGCACGTTTTTCCGTGTTATAACGTCTGCAGAGTCCCGAGGAACGGTTGGTGCCCGAGCCCGATAAGGCGAGGGCTCCAACAGTTCCGAGGGACTCTGCAGACTTTATAACACGAAATAAACGTGCGTTGACGCTATTATAGCATAAAATTTTCAAACAGATTCGTGATGTATAGTTTATACAAAACACAATTACATTAAATTCTTGTGCTTGGACGGTATTTATCCAATTCTATGTTTTACGTATGCGTTTCATTTTTCCGGGGCCAACAAGTTGGAAAATTCTCGGAACCGAACGAAATTTTGAATTTTAATTGATTTAACAAAGCTTGGCCTTTGGAGATTTATTATCTCAAGAAAAAAAAAAACACTTTACATTACTCTACCCTCTACAAGACAAAACATGACCCTCAGAAATTCTTAGAAAGATTTCAGATTGACGGTAGAAAAAGGATCAGTGACATCAGAATCGGTTTTTTTTTTCAAGCAAACAAGTTTATAAAAAAATCAGGCACTATAAGCATTATTCTCTCAAAGAAATATAAAGAGCATTTATCAACATTAACATAAATAAAAAACATTTTCTCATATTAATTTTGTGTTATCTAGTTTTGTAAGTTAATCGGAGTGTTAAACTGAATGACAGGTAGATTATACTGTATTTGTTTACATTGACAACTGTCCGTTTCTTAGAAAGGGCGACAACCAAGATTAGCACCGATGTCTATACGCCGTTTTTCCGGCATAGTTACTTGAATATGCGACTGAGGCCCTCGAATCAATAAATTTCAATATAACAAGAGCGCATGACTCTTTGGCAAACAGGCCGAATCGTCATTTTTTGTTTGTTTGTTTGTTTACTGGGCCCTGTATGTATTGCGCATAGATGAAACCGGGCTATAACAAGAGCGCTTGACTATGTTAACACATGGTTTTGGTCCCGTTATAACATGGGCAAAAGAGGGAAAATTAGCCGATTTTATGCTATAATACATATTATAGTCGCAGTCGCATATTCAAGTAACTATGCCGGAAAAACGGCGTTTAGACATCGGTGCTAATCTTGGTTGTCGCCCTTTCTAAGAAACGGACAGTTGTCAATGTAAACAAATACAGTAGAATCTACCTGTCATTCAGTTTAACACTCCGATTAACTTACAAAACTAGATAACACAAAATTAATATGAGAAAATGTTTTTTATTTATGTTAATGTTGATAAATGCTCTTTATATTTCTTTGAGAGAATAATGCTTATAGTGCCTGATTTTTTTATAAACTTGTTTGCTTGAAAAAAAAAACCGATTCTGATGTCACTGATCCTTTTTCTACCGTCAATCTGAAATTTTTCTAAGAATTTCTGAGGGTCATGTTTTGTCTTGGGTAGAGGGTAGAGTAATGTAACGTTTTATTTTCTTGAGATAATAAATCTCCAAAGGCCAAGCGTTGGTAAATCAATTAAAATTCAAAATTTCGTTCGGTTCCGAGAATTTTCCAACTTGTTGGCCCCGGAAAAATGAACCGCATACGTAAAACATAGAATTGGATAAATACCGTCGAGGCACAAGAATTTAATGTAATTGTGTTTTGTATAAACTATATATCACGAATCTGTTTGAAAATTTTATGCTATAATAGCGTCAACGCACGCTTATTTCGTGTTATAAAGTCTGCAGAGTCCCTCGGAACTGTTGGAGCCCGAGCCCTACCTACCGGGCTCGGGCACCAACCGTTCCTTGGGACTCTGCAGACGTTATATAACACGGAAAAACGTGCGTTAACCCTATATTTAAAAACAAGTCTTTAGAAATATCAAACATGTGTTTTAATTATGGATTAAGAGCATGTTAGATGTTTAACAACTGAAAAAAGTAGCACTGAATGTTAAAATAATGCGTCGTAAAGGTAAAAAAATGTATTCAAAGTAGTATTTTGACTTCTATACAAAATACTTATTTACTATAATTATAACAATTGACAACAGACCTAAAGAAGCAAAATGTAGTTCATCTATATGGCAAATGATTTTTTTGAAAACTGTAACAAGATAAAAAAAAAGAAGAGAGAAATAATGATAACGGGCCTTTAATAAACGGATTGCATGTATTTCTAGGTGCTGGGCTAGACTGCGATGAAGAAATTATTCGTCAAATTCCAAACATGGAGAAGGAGAAAGTTTCCCCAGGAATTTTGATTTGTGCACAAGCTGCTGTATTCAGGTCCCTTGAAATAAAATGGTAAGTTATACGTTTCCCTGACATTGTTGAATGTACTATTGCATAATTGTACAGGGTACGAAATGAAGACTGTTACAATGTATATGTGATATATAAAGGGTTACTATAGAAATGAGATTGAATATCTTAATGTTTTAGAGAATGTATACATAAAGCGAAAGATGAAAATTGTCAATATAGAACTCATGACCAATTATTGTTTCTTAAGCGTACAGTTCTAGAGGAACATTTTTAAATGAAAAGTTTTATTTATATTTTATATAAGAGTGAGTTCGATTTGCCATATTAAAGGGACTCCACTGAGATTTTTTTTTTTAAATGACGGGACTGGAAATTATTTTCCGACATAAATGTACCATTTGATGTATTTCTAAACCAATAACTTATGTGCAAAAGCTCTCTTCGTTTCCCCAGCATAATCATTCTTATTGTGAAAAATGACTAAAAATTAAAAAGCGTCATACTCATATCTGTCTAAGAATAACACAAATATACAATTTTCAATTTATTTCTGGGTATATTTCTTGATTATCTTTTGCATTTATTTCTGTTTTAAGTGCCCCAGCTGATCAATGTAGGAAATTAAATTTTGATGTTTTAGGCTTTAATACCTCCGTAGAGTTCCTTTAACCACTTCTCCTGTTCATCATAAATAACTTTTGAGAAAGATATCACACGATGGCTTTATTACTGCTTATATCTTAAAATCATTCAGAAATGAAGTGTACCTCACATTTATAAGTATAACATTCTTAAATAAGGTGTATAAGATTTGTAAATAATAATCAATGTTTTCTTGAACAGAAATAAATGAATATTTGTCAGATATCGCAGTTATTGTGCAACTTCTTATCCCCGTATTTTCAGGTTTCCCATGTATTGTGCAACTTGTTATCCCCGTATTTTCAGGTTTCCCATGTATTGTACAACTTGTTATCCCCGTATTTCCAGGTTTCCCATGTATTGTGCAACTTGTTATCTCCGTATTTCCAGGTTTCCAATGTATTGTGCAACTTGTTATCCCCTTATTTCCAGGTTTCCCATGTATTGTGCAACTTGTTATCCCCGTATTTTCAGGTTTTCCATGTATTGTACATATTGTTATTCTCGTATTTTCAGGTTTCCCATGTATTGTACAACTTGTTATCCCCGTATTTTCAGGTTTCCCATGTATTGTGCAACTTGTTATCCCCGTATTTTCAGGTTTCCCATGTGTTGTGCAACTTGTTATCCCCGTATTTTCAGGTTTCCCATGTATTGTGCAACTTGTAATCCCCGTATTTTCAGGTTTCCCATGTGTTGTGCAACTTGTTATTCCCGTATTTCAAGGTTTTCCATGTATTGTGCAACTTGTTATCCCCGTATTTTCAGGTTTCCCATGTATTGTGCAACTTGTTATCCTCGTATTCAGGTTTCCCATGTATTGTGCAACTTGTTATCCCCGTATTTTTAGGTTTCCCATGTATTGTACAACTTGTTATCCCCGTATTTTCAGGTTTCCCATGTATTGTACAACTTGTTATCCCCGTATTTTCAGTTTCCCATGTATATTGCAATTTGTTATCCCCGTATTTTCAGGTTTCCCATCTATTGTGCATCTTTTCCACCTGAATCCGAATGTTCCTCTCAGTCAAGCCCGAAAGGAATCCAAGAAATGTTAAAAAATTTCGAGGAAGCTGCTACCACGGCAAAAAAAGTGAAGAAGCAAATGGACGAAAAAACGAAGACGGTAGATTTGTTCTCATTTATTGTAATATTTAAAATGTTAAGATATGGCATAAGATAATGTACATTGAACGAGTAAGATGATAAGTTAATATCCCAGCTTTATCATAATGGATTTAAAATCCTTGTCCCCGCTTTAATTCAGAATCCTTTCTCCACTTCATTTATGATAATGGATTAGAATATCAACTCCGCTTCAATTGTGATAATAGATTAAAAATCCTTGTCCCCGCTTCAATTATGTTAATAGATCCACAATCATTTTCCCGAATCATTATAAAAATAGATTAGAATCAGTGTCCCCGTTTAGATTATGATAATGGATCAGAATTCTTGTCCCCACTTCAATTATGATATTAGATTCAGAATCCTTGTCCCCGTTTATATTATGATATTAGATTCAGAATCCTTTCCCCACGTAAAAATTATGATAATAGATAAAAATCCTTGTCCCCGTTTATATTAATATGATAATGGATTTAGAATCCGTGTCCCCGTTTATATTAATATGATCATGGATTTAGAATCCGTGTCCCCGTTTATGTTATGACTGATTCAAAAATTTTGCCCCCCGCCCCCGCTCCAACTATGATCCTTATTCCTTATTGTACGGGTATTCTAATATTGACATCCACGATTTTCAACTTTGCATTTTCATAACAAGACAGCACTCAAGTTTTTGATGTTGGTCACCAACGCATAACATATACAATCATAACAAAGAAAAAAAATGCGGATATACTTAATTCTATTCTTATTTCATTATTTAATAGAATACAAAACAAAAATTTCACATCTATAACTGCCATATTATCTTTTCCTGATTTGTTGCTTAGTAAATATACAAAACACGATTTTTATAACATTTTCAATATTGCATGATGATAAAATATTGAATTTGTGAGCTGATGCACGGATATAATATTTTAGCAATAGCTTTTTATAATTGAGCCGTGTCATGACAAAACCAACATAATGGGTTTGCGACCAGCATGAATGCAGACCAGCCTGCGCATTCGCGCAGTCTGATCAGGATCCATGCTGTTCGCTATTAGTTTCTCTACTTGTTAAATTGTCTGTAAGCGAACAGCATGGATCCTGATCAGACTGCTCGAATGCGCAGGCTGGTCTGGATCCATGCTGGTCGCAAACCCATTATGTTGGTTTTGTCATGACACGGCTCATATTATTTTTGCATATACTCGATATTCTAGTAGGAAATATAATATGTTTTCGAAAACTGCCTATGAACATACAGATAAGTTGTAAAGAAATATGTCTTGAAGTAGCTAAGCTATTAGATACCTTTCTTATGAACTATATCTTTTATTTATTTCAGATAAAGCTATGGAAGAGATATTCTAGAAACTTGGTAGAGTTTAAGAAGGCCATGACTGACAAAACCATGTCACAGTTGTTTGGCATGTTTCTGAAATATGAAGTTGAAAAGGAAAAACTGAGCTCAAATCAAGAACTTGCAGGTATGACCGTTCCATAGAACTTTCACGTCCCGCTCACATTTTTTTACTTGTAATAGAGTTGGTAAGCGAACAGCATGGATCCTGATCAGACTGCGCGGATGCGCAGGCTGGTCTGGATCCATGCTGGTCGCAAACGCATTACGTTAGTTTTGTCATGACGCGGCTCATATCTTCATGATGCTTCAACGTTTAATTAAGGCCCAATATATTTTAGCTCAACTTGCACCACCAGAGAAGAACACCATGATGCCAACTGGATCTAGTAATTTCCAAACTCGTGTTGTTATTCGAGAAAGACCGGTTATTATGAATCGACTGCCCTCCGATCTCAAATTCTGGATTGAAATAATGAAGTAAGTTTTCCTTCATTTCTTTTAGGCAAACATGTTTAATTTATAACTGAACAATAAATAATTCTTTTGTGAGGAAAACGATAAAAAAATAGAGGTGTTGGCCAAAAAGCTTTGTTCTGTTAGTAAAAATCAATTACATTTATTCGTGAAATAAATACTATTTGTTTCTACTTGTATAAGAATCATTATATAGGAGCGTAGGATGAAACAACAACAACAACAACAACAACAAACAACAAACAACAAAAAACAACAACAAGTATTTGATCAATGCAAAAGAATTGTTCTTAAATTAAATAAACTGCTGTCTAAGCCTTCTACTTGAAACCGTCCACTGGTATTAAAATACTTATTAAAATATCAACGTATTTTTGTAAGGGCGAACTATCGCCTTCTTAAACCGTAGTTTTCATTTGTTTATGCCCGAGAACAAAAATCAAAATCATTGCGCGCACAAATATAGTTCTATGTTATTCAAGTTATTCAGAAAAATGTGTACAAAGTAATCATCATGATAATTTCTGACGTTTCTTAAAATACTTTAAACATCATTTTGGCGTTTGATTTTCCTTGACGAGTTCCATTGGATTGCCAGTATACATGTATGCAATTTCTATAATTATTATCACTCTGAATATATTATATATGTAAGTCATTTTTTTCAGATACCAGAATCTAGTTGACAGCATGCTAAAAAAAGTCAATTTGTCAATCATGGAAAGTGAGTTTTTGATAGACAAGGCAAGGTCCATAGTGTCATGTTTCCTCGCGTCAGAAATATTACCTAGAGTTCAGGTAATGAAATATGTTTTGTGCACTATCATAACATTACTTAGGTTGCAATTTTAATTTCACTCTAAATTTGAGCCGCGCCATGAAAAAACCAACATAATGCGTTTGCGACCAGCATGGTTCCAGACCAGCCTGCGCATCCGCGCAGTCTGATCAGGATCCATGCTGGTCGCTTACAAACCCTATAATAAGTAGAGAAACTGTTAGCGAACAGCATGGATCCTGATCAGACTGCGCGGATGCGCAGGCTGGTTGGATCCATTCTGGTCGCAAACGCATTTTGTTGGTTTTGTCATGGCGCGGCTCATTTATCAATAAAAATAACTCTTAATTGGACTCAATAAAGTATATATGTCTTCTAACAACTTAACTTCTAAATATTGAAAAACAAAACCGGTAATCAATTAAATTCCTATATTTTAAATTTACCGGAGTTAGTAAAAACTAAATGTAGAGAAACTTTGCTTACTTTGACATGTACATTATATAACTCTCGGGGACATGAAATGGTTTCCGTTTAATCTCAAAGGGCTGTATAGTCTGAAGGCAATTTTCGAGAGACGATATATGAGTCGCGTCATGACAAAACCAACATAATGGGTTTGCGACCAGCATGGATCCAGACCAGCCTGCGCATCCGCGCAGTCTGATCAGGATCCATGCTGTTCGCTATCAATTTCTCTACATTTGTACTTGTAATAGGGTGGGTAAGCAAATAGCATGGATCCTGATCAGACTGCGCGGATGCGCAGGCTGGTCTGGATCCATGCTGGTCGCAAACGCACTATGTTGGTTTTGTCATGACGCGGCATATATTGCTTAAACCTATGAAACATTGCATTGTCTCGTCTTTCAGGTGAACGTACCAAATGAAATGGCGTTGGATATCGTCAGCAGTTTAGCAAGTGATGGCCCAAGACGAGGACTGTTCCATGATGCGGTCGTCCATCTTTTTCCAATTATATACCATTTTTATCGCAGGTGAGTATATCTTTTTGTATGGCGATAGTATTGTTTCATGTTAATATTTTATGGCCATTCACCGCTTGTTTTCACCCAAACCTTCGGAAAAAAATAATTGTCTCTGAACAACGTAACTGTATTGGCTGGCATGAATTCTTGATAGGAATCTTGTCTGCGTTTCATAGAAAGTCCCAAGGATATCCCAAGTCCTAGGACTTATTTCAAATTGACTGACGGACGGACGGACGGACGTTTCAACATTTTGGGTTTAGGGGCAAAATTCTTTGTTATTTTCTTTGTTTTTTTTAAGCGCTACTATCCCATAAACCCTTTGATCACGGAATGAACCTATTGTTCTTTTTTGTTCTCTTTACTAAACCCAAAATGTTTCCTCGGACGGACTGACTGACTGACTTAGGACTGTTTAAATCATAATTTTCATCTTCAGATAAAAGTTTTAGACTTAAATCTAACTCTTCTCATGAGAAAAGTTACAAAATGAAATGACACGTCCTTTAACCCGCAAGTGTGTAAATGTTCATGTGTATCGCTATTCAAAAATTGAAAAGTCTTAGCATAAAAGTCATGAGTTAAAACATTTTCTTGAAGCTAAAATTGTCTCAGTCTTTGGTCTTAAGACATATTTTAGACTTGGGACGTGACGTATTTTTTTCATAAACAACATTATTATTTTAATACACCTATTTAATTTAGAACTATTCATTTTATTGCAAAAATAAATCCATTGGTTTTAAAAAAAATTTATACATGTACATGTATATTCGTAAAATTCTATATATTATAGTTAGGCTAGAAATAAAAGAACGTGAATTTTAGTTGCTTTTTGCGCTGAGGAAAAGTAACAGTCAGAAGTAAATTCTTCTTTCATGCATAACTTTGTTACATTAAACAAATAATACAATGTCCATCTGTAGGAAAAGGGCCAATTATACATTACCAGCTTTTACTAAATTCAATTACCTTTATGTATTTTAATTAATTGCTGTATTCCCATGTTTGAGCGATGACTTGAAATAAATAAATAATATCTTAATTGTCTGCCACATACTTATTTGTTTTCATAGATTTTCAAACGAGTGGATGAAGGGAGGTATTCCAGATGAATTCTTCGACAATATTGAGCATGTTATTTGGGGAAATGTTGGCACTACACCTCATAAAAGGTTGAATGTTTGTGACTTCCGTAACTTAACACCGAGTCAGATCAATAAATTGTATCACCAATCGGCAGGTAAGCGACAGCATGATTCACTTTATATCATGTACGCTGCTATAATACAAACTTTGATTTGAAGAAACCAACTTACTGCCTTTGTGACCAGCATGGATCCAGACCAGGCTGCGCATCTGATCAGGATCCATGCTGTTCACTTACAAACCCTATTACAAGTAGAGAAACTGATAGCGGACAGTATGGATCCTGATCAAACAGCGCGGATGCGCAGGCTGGTTGGATTCATGCTGGTCGCAAACGCACTATGTTGGTTTTGTCATGGAGTGGCTCAATTAATTTTTAGTCTAAAAAGTTTAAATATATTGGTAGACATACAGTCGTCCCAGGTTATATTAACGTCTTATATTACATGTTCCAATTAAATAAAAATTGTACATTCAGACGGTCAATTGTTATCTTTCTCATTTGCAGACGACTTCTCATTAAAAATCCAATTTTCCCTCTCCACTGGCGTGGTAATGACGTACCCGCAAGAAAAGAAGTCATCAACAGATGAAAGAAAGAAAAAAAGTACTCACGAACTAAAAACGAACTTTTCGATGGTTAAAGCCAACAAAGGTGGACGGGGTGATAGAAAAGATAATAAACAGCCTGTTGAAGAAGGAGATAAAGACGATACTAAGAACGAAAGCGATAAAATCAAGTCAACAGGCAATGTAAAAGACAAACATAAGGCTGAGAAAATAGTGGTTAAAGATGCCAAGCAAGTTTCAGGCGATAGCTGTAATGCAGAGAATGCGCCCCTTGATAAAGCTAGAAAATTGAGCCTTTTTATCGAGTCATTGAACAGAGGGAAAGAATCTAAGATAAAGAAACAGAACAACATGTTTAGTCATGTGATGCCATTCAGACAAGTCACGGCTGTTGTAGCTCAATCTTCGGATATCGGATCTGAACACGCCTCCTCTAATTAAATGTCAAAAATTGATGAATAAAAATGAAAAAGAAATCTGATTTCATTGGTTGTTTTCCCAAAGAAACAGATACATGTATCTACAAATAATGATACATATAAGACAAATTGTTACAAAAAATATCCCATGAATACACACTGATAAGCTCATCATAAAATGAAATTAAGAGTAAGTGGAATTAAAAGATTGTATGACATTTCATTTTTGACAAAAAAATCTAAGCACTTCCATTTGTAAATTCCTGTAAATTAAAAAAAACATGTTGCAATCTTGTTTATTGAATGAAAACGTTTCTTCAAACAGACGATTTAAATGTTTTTATTTGTTTGTTTTGTTGTTGTTGTTTATATCTAAAAATGGTATTCTAGCATTTAAAAATCTAAATCAACACAATTATGTTTTTTGATAAGAAGATAACTATCTCAGTTTGGCTTGATAGATTAACTGTATTCATAATAAATATTATTATATTTTTTAAATAGAAGATATTGAATGAGTGAAGGTCCAATACTGAAGTAAATAAAATTATAATATGCGAGCCTTTGGTGACAATACTATATAGAGAATATTCAAGATTTTTTTTTCTATAAACACAGGATTTATTTTCATCGGGTTGTATGGAATATGATAATTTTCATTACAAGGCGAATATAATAAATCCAGTATTAATAGAGAAAACCTTGAATAATCTCTATATAGTATTATCGCCGAAGGCTCGCATATTATAATTTATTAAATTCAGTATTGTACTTTCACTCATTCAATATCTTTTATTTAAAAAAATATAATAATAACTATTAAAAGTACCGCCTTATCAAAGATAGGAAGATATGGAAACAGGCTCCGTCCGTCTGTCTTTCCGTGCCATTATTTTGGGTTCATGTGCATTTTTGTCCTTATGTGGCACTTTTCCACATAAACTAGTCGGTTTATGGGATTTCCTTCTTTTTAAAACTAAGATTATGGATGGAATGAAGCTCAAAAAAACTGATGGATTTTGCCCGTCCGTCTTTCCGTCCGTCACAATTTCGTGTCCTTTCAATTTATAACTAAGTCATTTATCAATGGAATTTTAAATAACTTAGCACAAATGTTTGTTTTAACAAGGTGATGTGACCTGCAAGGTCAAGGTGATAAAAGGTTAACATTGTCTATTTGAAGGTATATATCCTGTTCGGTCCATAACTTTCTTCTTCATGAAAAGATTTAAAAGTTCTTGGCACAAATGTTCACAATAATGAGACGATGCGTCGTGTGTAAAATCCAGTCACCTTCCCCAAGGTCAAGGTCACACTTGGAGTTCAAAGATTAACATAGTCTGTTATAAAATATATTTTGTGTCCGGTCCATAATTCTTCAAAGATCAAGGGATTTTGGAAATATTTTTAGCAAATGTTTACAATAATAAGACAATGTGTCGTGCGCAACACGGTCAAAGGTCAAGGTCAAATGTGGAGGTCAAAGCTTAATATGGTCTGTTATAACATATATTTTGGTTTCAGTTCCATCAAGGGATTTTTAAAATACTTGGCACAAATGCTCCCAATAACAAGATGACGTGGCGTGTGCAACACCCAAATGCCTACCTTCAAGGTCAAGGTCAAATTAAAAAACTTTTCATCGGTGAATCGCCCACATATCTTGATCGATGAAAAAGTTACGGACTTGACACGAAAAATACCCTGTAACAGACCATACCCTGTATTGATTTTGTATCTATCACATTTTGTGGCTCTGAAATAGTGATAACACCTATACAAATGTATTTCTGTTGACATATACACTGGAGTTATTTCATTACATTTCATTAACCTTTTACCCCATGAGTATATTGTGAAAAATGACCGTTTTCATTGAAAAGCCTCCTGTTACAAGTTCAAACTGCTATGAAACTATGAAAAATGCTTCAATACTGATGAAACTTGCCACAAATGTTGACTGGACCATAGCCTCTGTAACAGCATGATCAATCATAAATGTTCTGTTACCATGGCAACGTGGGGACGTCTCAAAATTGCGAAAAATCACTATTTTGCATTGTTTTTTTTTCCTATCAAAACTGATTTCAAAGTCCTGCAACTTCTCAATGAATGAAAAAAAGATAGAGTAAAAGGCTTTTCAGCGTCGGTTACTAGTTACCCTAAGATCGACTTGAGGCCATTTTAGGCTGTCACATGTCCAAAATTTTCTTGGCGATGAGGGGGACTACCGCCCCCCCTTCAAAGCCCCCAAAAAGAAGGGGGCACACCCCCCTTCTGGCAACCCCCTGATGAACCATTTTGATGGGGGCCGTGCCGAAAAAGTGGTCACCATTTTTAACAACATTTCTCAAATGAAAAACAGTGTTTGGGAACTAAATAGGGCATTTTTTCACTGTTTGAGGCCTCAAAAGGGGGGCAAAAAGCCGTCAAAACACGTCTAAATAAAGCCTCGGTCTCACTTACTCCCGGCAGAGCCCAGGACCATCCCGGTAAGTTACCGGGCTGATCCGGGACGATCCGGGATGAAATAATTGTTGCGGTCACACTTAGGCCGCTATTCCATTTATACGTGATCAGTGGTCCGCGTCCGTCATCCGCATCCGTTACCAATTCGCTAATCAAAGAATACGTTGAATCTATTCCTTTTGTCCGTTTACCATCCGCTTCCGCGACGGCATCCGCGATGTTTCGCAGGATGAGCGATTTTTTACGGACGCGGACAGTCACTGACATGTCTCATCCCTACAAAATGCCTCGAACGAAATTAAATACTTTATCGATTTCGAAAGAAAATACTAAAGAAGTCACCAAAATAGTGTAGGAGAACATATAAGTTTATGATGCAGCAATGACAGTTTAAAAAAAAACAACATCTGGTCATCGGTTGCTAAAGAGATGTTATTTGAAAACCTATCTGATATTCAATGTTTGTTACCTAATTCTTTGATGTTACAACTGTTTTTGGTATTAGAATGAAATTATATCATATTCTACAAATAATTATCCTCTGTTCGTTATACTTCAATTAAAAGTATAGAGAAAATAACGTACCTATGGAATAATACCCACGGACATGCCCGGACACGGATCACTGACGCGGACCACTGATCACGTATAAATGGAATAGCGGCCTTACCCCGGCAGCACTACGGTAGTTCCCTACTAACAACCCAAGATGCGCCCCGGATCATCCAGGCAGAGCCCAGGTGAAGCTACGGTTCATGCCGGTGCTTCCCCGGTCGTTCCCGGATGACGACGGAAGAGCCCCGGTTGACCCAGGCAGAGCCCCGGTCGATCCAGGCAGAGCCCCGGCAGAGCCCAGGACGATCCAGGCAGAGCCCCGGTAGAACCCCGGTCGATTGAAAACGCCCGAAAATGATAACATTGATACATATTTTTTATTTAATATAATATCTATTGTTCCAGAATAGTAATTCATGATGATTTTCTGAAAAATTCTTATGCCATACTGGATAGAAGGGAAATGGGAAGGCTTTTAATACACAAACAAGTGCAATCATCGCAAATTGTCGTTATTCTTTTGAAATGATCCGGGCTTTGCCGGGGCTCTACCGGGATCAACCGTAGCTCTACCTTTATCCTCCGGGGCTCTGCCTGTAGTTACCGGGGCTCTGTCGGCATATACTGGGGCTCTTCCGTAGCTCTACCCTAGCTCTACCGGCTATATCATACCCCGGATCATCACCGGTTTGTGCCGGCAGAGCTACGGTGCTTTCCCGGTATAACCCCGGTCGTTCCCGGCAGAGCTAAGGATGAAGCCGGCAAAGCTATACCTTCCCGGATCATCCCGGACCACCCCGGTGATATTAAATATTTTATTCCATCCGGGGTCGAATGCCGGATGTTCCCGGATCATCCCGGATCATCCAGGACGTTGCCGGCAGAGTTACGGATGTACCCCGGTTGTTCCCGGTCGTACCCCGGTCGTTCCCGGATCACCCCGCACGTCTACCGGGGCTCTGCCGGGGCTCTGCCGGGATGTAAGTGAGACTGTAGCTTAAGGGAAAAGGTTAATGGATTTATTGTTACTTGCATGTGCAGATCTAGCATTGATCAAGATTTTGCACTAAAATACCTAAACTTTTTTAAAATAGCACATTTTTGTGCTTCATGTAAAACTTCCCTTAAAAAAGTTGGTAACTCTATTACAAATTCTTGTTATTTGAAAGAATTGCCTTTAAGTTTTGTGTATAGGAAAAATGAATATCATCTCCCGCTTCATGTATATGTATGGTAAAGAAAGCTTTAGAATACAAATATGAATAAAATAAAACCGGTGTAAATATACAATTCTTTATCAGCTCTAAACACAATATCATACACAACAGTCCTTAGACAGGAAACGATTGCAATTTATTACATAAACAATATTAGCAGGCATATGCGTAATGCAATTTCATTCAATAATTTAATCAACAAAAACCATATGAGCCGTGTCACGACAAAACCAACATTGTGCGTTTGCGACCAGCATGGATCCAGACCAGCCTGCGCTTCCGCGCAGTCTGATCAGGATCCATGCTGTTCGCTTTCCAACTCTATTACAAGTAGAGAAACTGATAGCGTACAGCATGGATCCTGATCAGACTGCGCGCGGATGCGCAGGCTGGTCTGGATCAATTTTGGTCGCAAACCCATTATGTTGGTTTTGTCATGACACGGCTCATATGTAAAATTGTACAAATGTATATGCCGGAAATAGTTATATTAATTAACAGATCACTATGCACATGCATATATATTAACACAGAATTTATTTCAAGCTATAAGCTTATAAATGCCTGACACCATTTTGTGCAAAAATTTAATGCACCAGAAGGAAAAAAGGCAATATTTGAATCCACGCGGCCAGCAATCTTTTTGAATCTGATACGTTTACCACTCAATCATGCCGCCGAAAGTTCATAATTAATGTCCAAATAATGTTAAATTCAAGCGGAAAAAGTAATTGATTCATTTCGAATAATTAGTCTTACACTGAAATGAATTGTTACTATATTTAAAGAAAAAAAAAGAACTGTTTTGAATGATAATAACTCTTTACTCGTTATAATTTGCCGTCATATTAGTGACGTAAACAATGAGGATGCGCGAGCATGACGCCGTTTCTATAACACAGGCGTTGGTTACGAAGGTGGATGTCGTAGAGCATATTTCTGGAATATAATGTAAAAACATTAGGATGAATGACTCTCCGGGAGGAGGTAGGATAATTTTCAATGTTTATTTTCATAGTACCATTATAATGAATTTGAAAATATAATTATATTTTAGGCACTTCCCATTACTAGAGCATTTCCTTCTATACTATTTTATACACCATTAATGTCTCTGTTTCTGTATTTAAACGGTGTAGGACCTGTTAAGCAAAATAGATCGGGGGAGGCGCCAAGTCGTAAGGGCAGATTTGTCATATTACAAATTTTTAATATTTTCCGGCATTTTAGTATTTTTACGAATTCTTCAAGCCGGAGCTACTGGCGCACATTCCAGATAATTGTCTTGAGTATTTTACAAACTATTTATTTATTTACAAATCATCTGACTCTTCATGTTACGCCTTCAAAATTCCAAAAAAGCTTTTTTTTTACATTTGCAAACAAGCTTTATGTTAAATTGTGTACTCTCTCACAGCCAGCGCATTTTGTCATCACAATAACATTAAAGGCACACTATGCCTCAGATACAAATAAATTTTTACTTATTTAAAGATGTAAGTTATGCTCATATTTGAGTAAATATTCTTATCAAATGACTTTCTGAAATCAATAAAATTCTCACTGAATGTTTATAATTTGAGTAAAAAAGTGTTTTACTTATTTTGTATTGGAAGCTGCATTCCCTATCAAAGGTCAAGTGAAGTTGGTCTTTTCTTAAAAAAAACTGCCACTTGTTTTAATGATACTATATATTCATATTGTGACCACTAATAGTGTATAGAGTTTAAAAAACATAACATATCTACTTTGAATGAACCCGAAATAATGTTTATTTTGTATTAACAAAGAGGCTGTGTAACAATTATCAATATTTTAAAACATCAAATTTGAACATAGTATATCTTTAAAAAGGCCAAACATGAATTTTATCATGCTTAAAAAATGCTTTTAGAGAAAATTAATGTTAGATGCTTGTTTCCAGAAAAAGTAGCGATAAATGTGAAATAATTTGTCATAAAAGTAGCAAAACGAAAACAAAGTTTACTTTCTATACAAACACTGATTCACTTTAACTGTAGATCTACTTATTGCAAAAAAACAACAACAAAAAACAACAACAACAACAATAACAACAACAACAACAACAACAAAAGACAGCAGATGAAAAAGATGGTTCCGGTAATTGGCCAATGAGTAGCAACATTTTGATACTATAAAAATGCACCAAAAGCTTTTTAGACATAAAAATAAAAGCATTTCTGAGGCCTAAAGTATGGTGGCTGATTTTTGCCATTCGTGTTTTCGCCCCGCGACCCCTCCAAGCGAAAAGTCGAGAATTAACAAGTTAAAATGGCGGGGGCGCGGAGCAAAAACACGCTAATTAGCGAGGGCGGGGACGAAGTTTAATAAATAAAATTTCGCTCAGCTGGAGCGCGGGGCAAGATTTCAGAAATAAATCGGCGGGGGCGCGGAGGGAAAATACGCTAATTAGCGCCCCCGCTAATTAGCGTGTTTTCGCTCCGCACCTCCGCCATTTTTAACTTGTTAATTATCGACTTTTCGCTTGGCGGGGTCGCAGGACGAAAACACGATAATTAGCGAGGTCGATCGGCGAAGTTTTATTTATTTAACTTCGCCCCGCGCCCCCGTTAATAATCGTGTTTTCGTCCTGCGACCCCGCCGTTTTGTTTTTTAAATCTCGCTCCGCGCTCCCACGGAGCGAAGTTTTATTTCTTAAACTTCGCCCCGCGCGTGTTTTCGCTGCGCGCCCCGCAATTTTAACAGGTTAATTTATCGACTTTTCGCTTGGCGGGGTCGTGGGACGAAAACACGCTAAGTAGCGGGGGCGCGCGGCGAAGTTTTATTTATTTAACTTCGCCCCGCGACCCCGCTAATAAGCGTATTTTCGTCCCGCGACCCCGTCGTTTTATTTCTTAAAACTCGCTCCGCGCCCCCGCGGGGCGAAGTTTTATTTATTAACCTTCGCCTCGCGCCCACGCTAATAAGCATATTTTCGCTGCGCGCCCCCGCCATTTTAACTTGTTAATTTTCGACTTTTCGCTTGGCGGGATCGCGGGGCGAAAACACGGATGGCACAAATCAGCCACCATGCTGAAGGGTCTTTAATTAAGAAGAAACATATTTAAAATCTACAATCGCTAACTATTGATATATTGTATCATGTATATAAAGATAGTTATTAATGTATGATTATGTAGGTCCATCACAAGCTGAGTTGGAGGAGTTGACCATTCTCCTCGAGAACCGGACGTTTGTAGACTTCTTTAACACTTTCCTTTGTCTGCCGGTAAGATTCATTTTAATCCTTATTACGCTAAATATCATTAATCTGGACGAAACCATTAATCATTTTAGGGAAAATTTCAAAAAAATAACGTTACTGACTGAATAGTGAACAGTGCAGACCATGATCAGACGCCAAGGGTGATCTTGGTCTTTACTGATCGCATTATTAGATTCAGTTGCCACCAGAAAGCATCAAATATTATAAATATTTCATTGATATGTAAATTTTATACATTTGTTTTAATCTATAGAAATATGAAAGCGTCTTCCGCGGAACTGTTCGAATTGCGTTTTTTTTTTTTAATAAATGATATACACTATTACTCTCGAGCTTTAAACGCACCAAAAGTAAAATAATGTACAAGAAAGTCCGTATTTTCACAATACTTCACCAACACAAAGTAATTTGCATTACTTCAAAGGCCCCTTAATCGTTCTAAAACACTTATTTTTTTTTTTTGAAATTCAGCTCCTGTAATGTTTAAGTGTGTCCATTTTTTTTAAACAGTTAAGGCGATTAATACTGACTATATGAATTGTAACACCACTAAAACATAATATCTTTATTTACTTATTACTTTATTGAATGATACCTGCTGTACAGGTGTTTGGCCAGCATGTCCTCTACAATTTCATGGAGATGGAATTTGAGTTCGAGCCTCCGATCAAGAACAAGAGAAATGTAAGTGATTACCAGTTAAATAAAACTGAAAATAAGTTCTAGAAATTCTTTACGAAAATGTACATAAATAAACAGTCTTGTTTCAATTCGATAACAATTAGTTAATGGTTTTTAACTGACAGGTAGTCACTAGGTACGACGATTTATAATCAGAATTTGTCTGGTATTATACTACATGTACTTTAATTAAGATTAACAACAAATTGCACGTTACCACGTGCAGTAACTCATATATTAGCACGTATTCCTACACTATCTACATTAGATATACATATATACATTAGTTATGATAAGCCATGTTGCTAACAGACACATGTTAAGTCTTTTTTGACATGAGGGTGAAACACTTTCTTGAATTTTTTTTTATAATATGGACCTGTAAAATATAAAATTTACTATTAATGGAAAAGTCGTATTTATAAAAAAAAAATGTGCACAAAAATTATTATTTTTCCTCACAAGAAGAAGAAAAATTCACAAAAAATGATAAAGAACAAAAGTATTGAAAAAGGTACACATATATATGAAAATAACATGCAATATAAGTGTTATCACCTGTACTTAATCTTTACCAGTTATATGATTTGCAATCAATTTTTGACAGTATATTTTATCAGAACAGAACATAACTTTATTATCTCAAATTAATACGTAGACATATGAGAGTACAAATAAATGCGAAATTTCAAATACATTGCATGTGGTGTGTGAAAACAGTATCATAACGCGATATTTTCAGTCATTTCAAATATTCTGTTACTACAATAAGTACATTGGAAAGGGGAGTGGGGGTTGATGCGAGAATTATTCCAATAAGCTAAGTTATAGGCCTGTAAAGGTGTGAAACTGGCATGAATCTTAAAATAGATTACATGTATATTCTATAAATAATAGCCTGTTTTCCATTGATTAAGTATAGCAAAATTATGAATATTTTCCCCATTTCTGCATTTAGTGTCTTTCAGTCGTATTTTGCGACACCTATGTTGTGTTGTTGATACAGAAATGTTGCCAACCATATATGTGATAATTTACTTTATTATCGTTTGTAATATTACTTGATACTTTTAACTTTCCAGCTATATCTAGATCGTCGAGAAGTTCTGCGATGGTTATGTACGGAAAGAATGAGACAGTTCAAGAGGTCACCTCTGTATACTGAATACAGGTTGTGCTTACAGCTGAGGAGCACAAGTGTTGATTTACCCGGGTTTACAATGGGAAGTATGTCTGCAAATCATATCATATAAAATACGTTTAAGAAAATATCCACATATCATTTTACTTGTCATAGTCAGTCATAGGTGATTCAGAGTTTGAGTGCCAAAACAAGTCGGCATATTTCATTGAAACTAGTTTAATGGCGACTTTATGGAACGTGTTTGGTTTCAGAGCCACCGTGCGTTCAGTAAAATCCTTCATATATAATAAAAATCTTTAGTTTGACTCCTGTAAAAATATTATTTTAAACCTCATTTCTCCAGGCCAACCCAGCCTAAAATAAAAATCCTACATTCACCCATGTTATAAATGATGAATAAATATTAGTAAAAGGGTATCCACTTGTAAAGTTTATCCTGCATGTGATACGGTCCGTTGTATAAACGAGTACTAACAAAAACAGAAAACAAAAACTAATTCAGTGTATAATTAAAGAAGTATGTTAGTCTTACCTTTCATTACATGTCATTTAATTAGCGTAATCATATTACTTATAAAGTTAAAGAGAACAAATATGGACTTGAACGTGTAGTCCAATAGTTTTAAAGCCGGAACGTTTGGACCAAAGTATTGATTGTTTTCAATACCAAAAATTTTATTCCTATTGACTAGCTATTTTGCTTTTTGGCACTTATGTCGAATATGTTAGACATATGATAGACATTTTATTAAATTGGTCAATTCTTGATTTTGTGACAATAAATCAATACGACTATTCCAGTATACATGTATATATTTCCTATTTAAATATCGTAAATCACTTCATTACTTATTGTAGAACATTTCGAGCATATTGCTAATGACTTCTCAATAATCCAGATCAAACATTTGTTTAGTAAGGTAAGACTGTTTACGTGCGTGTTTATTTTTAATTAAATTCCTGTACTTAACATAACTAACCTGTCCTAAATCAATTAAAATTAATTTACATTTTTTTAAAAAAAGGTCAAGACTCTGTCGTATTTACTCGGAACATCATAGGAACAGTTCAAGGAATGAAGTTATTTCGCGAGTCGCTGCGAGGGACTGGAGGAGAGAACGTTTATAGGTGTTGGAAGGATATAGAGGCATGGAGACTCATGGATGACCCTGTGAAAAAACAGGCCTACAAACAAACTATATATACTAAATACACCAACGAAACTAGTGACACAGAAGTGGTCAGTAATCTTAAAAAGAAAGCGTTCCAAGGTAAGTTTATCAAGTAATATTTCACAGACAATTCATGGAAAAAATGACAGTGGGTACAAATAAAAAGGACATTTCTACTAACGTTTTAATGGTAAGTATGTAAGTAAGTACGGTAATTAGAAACAAATTATCAATACTAATGAAAGCAAGCTTGAAAGGATAAACAATATTAAAGATTAAAAAAGCTGCATGAGTTTAATTGATACCATAAATACAACTACCGCTAGAGAAAAAAAAACAGGTTGAAGATTTTAATAATAAAAGTCGTAATATGAAGTGTTCCGAGGTCCTCAGTAATCCAGGCTATTTACCGTAAACAGTTTATACGGAATTAATGTGTACCGTGAGTTCCGACGATGACTTAAATTATATAACGATCTCCCATGGAAACGGTAGTAAGAATAATGTAGGTTTCATAAGTGGATTACATAAAATTAAAGAGTGTGAAACAATCTTTAAGCATTGTGGATGTTCATAACATGTATGAAACACACCAAAAATTTAAAAAAATGAGTCCACTATAGTTATGTATAAAGTATTCATGTAGGTTAAATGTGGAATAAAAAATGAAACTCAAAAATTTACACGAATAGTCTTTGTAATAATTACTCATTGATGTAATATTTAAATGGAATTAAGACTTAAATTCTTGCAACAAAACGTGAAAAAAAGTAAAAGAAAATGAAACTGCTTTGTATATTTGTGAAGGTTACATGTATAACATGTATAACAACCCAAAATATTAAACATGTATTTTCGCGATCTTTGTATGCTTTTATGGATAGTGGTTCTCCTTAACGAGGATTTGCTTCAAAAACGTACCCATTTATACTTTGACAGTGCCATATTATACTTAAAAATTTGTTACTTTAAACAGATTTTTGGATTTAAATGTTTTCATTTAAGTTAGGAACGACAGTGCCATATAAAGCTTCATGGAGTTTTGGATTGGTATATATCATGTATATGTAAATTTGTTGCAGGTATCTTCAACTTTGATCTCGTTCCTGAAAGTGATATAATGCAGCAAATACTCGAATCTGTGACTAACACATCTTTTCGTTCATTTGTTGAGTCGGATGAATCAGTTATGAATTTGCAGACGATACAGCTTTGTGTACTCCGGAATTATTGGTTGCCAAGACATCTTTTGCATGTAGTTCAAAATTTGAAAAAAGTAGGTTGCCATGCGTAATTTAGAAATAAAGACTTCATGTTTTGAGTTTTGACATTTTTTAACAAGATGAACAAATATTTTCTAAATTACTCACTAAACATTAACACAGTTATTATAATAATTAACAACACTATTTATTTCATAAATACGATATATAAATAAATGTGCGAGGCTCCGGCATGCATTACACTATTTTATTCAACGAGTTAAATGAATTTAGTAATGAACCTACACGAATAAGTGTAACCTAAGAATTGTTTGCATTTAATGCAATTGACGTCACGTCAAAATACATGCCAGACCGTGCAATAGCCTATTTGCGGAGTTGCAAAAGCGGCAATGGTATAATAATAATAATAATAATAATAATAATAATAATAATAATAATAATAATAATAAAAATTATAATAATAATAATAATAATGAAGACTTTATTTAACGAGAGAACTCATTTGAACAAACATATCAATCCTCCATGGGGCCCTCAACAAGGAACAATATAAATTTAACATATTCAAACTATTAAAATACATAAATGTAAAAACATACAGGAGATTATCAATTTGTATACAACAATGTGTGATAAAACCTCAAGTATAAGGTTTTAAAATGGTTAACAGATGTAGCAGACTTAATATAATCAGGAAGGCGGCCGTTCCAAATACAAGATCCAGAATAAACAAAAGACTTACGAAATTTTTCAGTATTTGGTCTAGGGGTATAAAGTTGAAAATCAGATGATGAACGCAAAATGCGAGTATGAACATCTGACGATAAAATGAAATTATTCAATAAATAGGATGGCGCCTGATTATTCATTATTTTAAACATTATAATAGCTTTTTGAAAAACAACCCTCTGTGAAAAGGTCATCCAGCGGAGTTCAGAAAAAAGTTCAGCAGATGGAGTGTCATAATATTTGTCTAGAATTAGTCTTGCAGCCTTCTTTTGGAACTTAATGAGTTTATCTTCTAGAAAAGACATACAGTTACCGTAAATTATGCAACAATAATCAAGATGTGGTAAAATATATGCATTGTAAAACATTTTACGTACAGGTATAGATAGAATAATTTCATACGTGATAATAAATGTAACAATGAGTTACACTATTTAAGAACATTTTCAATATGGCTTTGCCAAGACAAGGTGTTATTAATTGTAATACCCAATAATTTTTCTTCAAAGCTACAAGAAATTTGCTCTGTTTTATATAAAATACAAGAATTACTTTCATGAATATAATTTTGCTTACAAGTTTAGCGGAAATATACATGACCTTAGTTTTGTTAACATTGATAGACATGCGATTTAAATCACACCATTTGTTGGCATTTAAAAGATCATGAGTAACAAGCTCAGGATTTTCATAACCAGTCTGATTAATGGCATGATGGGATTGGTGGAGATTCGCAAATTGTTTATTGAATAAATTTGCAGTGATAAAGGGTCAGTAACAGGGATGCCATCATCATCATCAATACAATGTGTTTGAACCTTGGATTTGTAACCAGATAATTCATTTAGACCAGTCCATAATTTCTTTGGGTTGTGTTTGTTTTGATTGATGATATCATTATAATATTGTCGCTTTGAATCATATATGTGAGACTTAACGTGTTGTTTCCATATTATATGTGTCATTAACTCTATGAAACTGGTGTTTTGTTTTAATAGCATCGGGGATGTTTTTATTAATCCAGTTTGGCTAGGTGACCTTCTTTACTCGTTTTTTTTTTTTACTGGTTGGTGCATGTTTTTCAACGACAGACAAAAATTTATCAGTGAACAAATCTATAGAGTTATCTTGATTTTCTACAGATGCTACTTCTGACCAGGGTTGACAATTCAGTTAAAAATCGATTTTCATCAAAGTGTTTAAAAGACCGGAAGGTTATTGTCTTATGCATGGGACCTTTAACACTGATATTTGAAAGTTTGCGTGTAAGACGAATGGGAAAATGGTCACTAATGGATAAGGAAGGTACAAAAACATCGACTATATTTTGAGGCATGTTTAAAAATGCATGATCTATCAATGTAGCAGAGCTTGAAGTTACTTTGGTAGGAGATTCAAAAAGCTGAGAAAAAATTACAGACTGCATTAGATCTAACCAAGATTTAGAACAATTATAATGCTTAAAAATATCATAGTTAAAATCTCCAATAACAATACATTCATTTTCCTCTAAATATGATTTTTCTAAGGATATAGAAAAATTAACAAGCCACTCAACTTTAGAAGATGGTGGTCTGTATGCATAACACAATAATAACGATTTACATTTAGGCTGTTTAAGTTCAAGCCAAATGGATTCAATAGAAATTAGTGTTGGGTATCGGACTCAAAAATCACTATCGATAATCGGATCACCACAATCGATTGTCTTCCGATAGTATAATCGAGTTTGCATTTTTTTGGCCCTTTTTCTTTTATGGTACCAATCCTTGTATGTATTTTTTTATACAGTAGTGACCATATTTTGAGAATAAATAAGCTCTTGTCTCCTTGATTAAATAAGATTTACTCTTTGAATTCAAAACAAACAACACAAATACCTAATACTACTTTGTGACAGGCGAAGATGAATTTGCTTTGATGTTCAGGAAACAAAGTCGATCAAATTGCCCACTTATTCACTAGCCATGTTTTGTCTGTATTTCATTTTTGATAAGGCAAACAAAAAGGACTACAGGATCCTCTGGAATTAAAGAGATTTGATCAGGAACCTTCTATTTGACCGCATGTAAAAAGTTACACCCTATGCAATTCAGCGGTGGTAGAACATAAACATAATCGATTGTTAAAAAGGACTATCGATTGTTGCCGATTTTGGGGTGATCCGATTAGTTATCAATTTTCAGAGACAATCGGGACAACACTAATAGAAATACTTTCTAAATCAGATCTATGAACAAAAGATAAACAGTCTCTTACATAAATAATTAAACCGCCTCCATTGGAAGGCCTGTCCTTGCGAAAAAGTGTAAAATTGTCCAACATAAACATATTACAATGTATATCAATCTTTTGTTCTGAAATTATAAATTTGAGTTCGTCTAATTTTGGGTACAAATAGATGTAGTATGTTCAACCCTTTATGCGTGTACCAAGAGTTACTATTCTTATTGGAGTCATAGTTTAAAGTTTTGTCATTTACAATTTTATAAGTCAAATTAACATTGGTTTCTCCATATTGAAATGAATTACTTTCACAAATATTTAACGACGGCGATCCTAAGAATTCTGATTTCTCAGCCATGAAGCTGGTACTGGCATGTAGACCATTTCCTCGTCTCTCCTCCCTGTAAACCTCCCTTTCTGAAAATGAGACTTGTTGTCCATTTTGTTACTGCTATGGTCATCAGATGGCATCGTAGATATGCCTAGGACATAGTTTATAGCCTTCCTCATGGTTGTTCCAAACAGTTTTCCACTTTTTCTATTTAGATGTAAATAGTCTTTATACAGCGACTTGTCTGGAGTACCATGCAGGATAAAATCAGAGTCATGGTTGATATAGTGGTGACCACCATCTGCACAGATCTCTAAACCTGTTGTTGGTTTCAGATATAATGGTGTTGAAAAGTTTGTCATTTCTTCTAGGTAGAATTAAAGAAATGATTATTTTACATTTTGAGTTGATGGTTTTTACAGTGTGTATTGTATCCTTCAGCTCATGAACTATGTACTGGCTTGAATCTGCATCAGATATATTATTTGTGCCTACATGAAGTAATATTACATCTTTATCCTTTATTCTATTTGAATCTGTATCATTCATTGATATGAAGGTATTTTCAATTGTGCGTATTCTTCCACCAGAGTGAGTCTTGGTGTTTACTTTCACTATACAGTCTGACATTCTGTTCGCACTCAGGATACCTGTCATTGAATCACCTGCTATAAATGCAGAGTATTTAGATTTTGAATTTTGATTTTCTATTGGTCGAGTGTTATTTTCAGACCTTTTTTTTATGTTAATTTGTATGTCTTTCTCAAAATTATCCAGTTTATGTGGCTCAGGCGAGATCGTTTTTTCAGCAGAAGTCTGTATTACCGATCTACCAATTTGCATACATTTCTTTCAGCAGTTCATCTCTCAAGTCTTTAATGTCTTTAGCTAATTTCTTTCCTACACACTCAGTAACATTTTCAATTTTTGATTCGATACTGTCTGCTTTCATTGTAGACTTGGCCAATCGATCGGCTAGTTGTGTTTTCTCTTTTGACAGTGTAACATTTTGCTTTTTTAATTTTTCATTGGATTCTTTCTACATTTAGGTGTAGCTTTACTCAGATTATGTTTCAGTTTTGATAACTCACTTTCAATCTTTTTCACACTTGTCACTTTGTTCAATGACTTTTATGCGTAGAATATCATTTTCACGTTTTGTATTTTCTAGTACATTGAGCAATTTTTCATGTGATAAATAACTTTTTATCATTCAATTCTATTATAATTAAAACAAATGTGTCATTTTTTTTCAATATAACTTCCATTTTTGTGAATGTAAGTATTTACAACAGTATAAATAATTTTCATTTTCAAGGAGACGCTTGAAGTTCTTATGAAACCTGTGCCTGGTGACGTGGAGTGTATAGGACTAGAGCGACGATTTCGTTGTCGGTATATGTTTCCGAAGATCGACAAAGATATAGATATAAATTCTCCAGCTACCACCGTTATCGTGTCCAAGTCCGCAAATGACCTGAATATAAAACCATCAGTCCAGTCTATGTCGTCTGCGGAAAGGGAAACTATCGGAGAAGAGGGGAAACGCAAAGCAAAAACAGGCGATCTTCAATCATTGTTGAAAAGTAAGAAATCAATATTGTTCTTAATGAAGCATGTTCGAAACTACTTAATAATGTTATTGCAACTGTTAAGTTACTTTTGATATGTATGTGAGAATAGTAGGCTTGAAAGAATAGCCCTTTAAAAATGAAATTATAAAATACTTGTTTTCTTCTTTCTTTTAATTAGAGGTTTAAGTCATTCTAAATGAAGTTAAATGTCACTTTCTGGGCGTACTTTACTGCCCCAAATCTTCAGCCTATAAGTTTGTATGTTCAACCAATTTTCTTTGCATTTTTTTATTTCTGATTAGGTCCATTGAAAGAAGCTCAGGTTGAATGCGAAGCATCATTAAGTTCTCCATCTCTACCGGAACTGACGCCGGAGAATGACGATACCGAGGGGTCAGAACAAGACAATAATGTCCATATGAATGTCGTTAGTCCTATTTCAAATGTTCTGGCATCGTATATTGGCGGAAAGAAACGAGCGTTGATCGGAAATATTCCGGACGCAACGAATAAGATGATCTGGAGCCTGGCCTCCGATTCATTTGCTAGTGGACCTTTTCATCAATATCTGGAACAAAACTGGAAAGATACAGACTTGAAATATTTGGAGTTTTGGAACGATGTGAGGAGATATCTTGATACAGAGGAACATGTTATTGATAGACTTGGACAATCCATTAAGCTTCAGCTGGCTCACAAGTATGATAATTATTTCACTTGTGGATTAATACTCTAATATTATGGTGGCTGATTTGTACCATGTCGTATTTTTGCTTCGATGGGCGCAAGGGGAAAACACGAAAGTACGACAAAGTGTCTATTTTGTCGTACTTTTACTTTTTCACCTTAAGCTGCGCGGGGCACCAAACGAAATAACGAAATCACGAACATATGATAAAATAATCACTTTGCAAAGGTACGATAAAGTGTCTTAATTTCGTGTTATTGCCTGGCGCCCCATACCATATATAAATGAATAATCAGACATTTCCCCTCACGACTATTATAGCGATCACATTTTCGGCCAGACATGACAGTAAGTGCGTGTCACTGTAACTACTGTTCAGATCGTAGAACACGAAAACTTTACGAAAGCTGCACAGTTCCCTTTTGATTTTTTAAAATATCTGTGTGACCTAGATATCTGACCAACACCGACAGCACAACAAAAAGCGCCATTTCAAACTCCAAAAACATCACACAAATAGTTAAGATTTCACTACAAATGTGACATTTTCTTCACATAACTCTTCTTCAAAATTACTTTCCCGTTGAACCAGTGATACATGGGCGCAAAGTTTATTCTTATGTTATTTTATTCAATTCTACCGATGTTGATATAGCAACGCAACGTCCGTTTAACTATACGCTAAACGGACGATATATCGAAATAACACAATTTGACGTCACGTAAAAAGATTACGTGACGTTTAATAAATAAATTTATAATTATTTTAGGATAGCTAACACATATCTTTCTAAAGAAGAAGACGAAAGCAGCATTTTCTCTGAGAGTTTGAAAACGTCTTTATTTACTGCAATCAGTACCAAAAACGACGTCTCCTTGCTTTGTATGACTCAAGATATTGTTGAAAAGGTATTTGCTCAAAACGTTAAGTAATTTCTGATGGTGCATCTAATTTTAACGTTTTAGTATATTTTATACTATCTAATTTTAAAGTTTTTTAGTATATTTAAACATATCTAATTTTAATTTTTTTAGTATATTTAATACAAATGATGTATAATGCAAGAAAAGATATCAACTTGACTGGACCTAACTTTTTACTGCATTTCTACTACATTTCGTCTGAAAAATCTCTCACTCGATGTTCAGAATTGGTTTGAAAATTGGTTTGTCATAAGCTGTTGTTATAAAAGAGTATTTTTTATTGTTCCTTTTGGTTTAAAAACACGCCATCATCAGATTTTGTTTATTTGTTTTAGAACTTGCAGGAGACACTCAATTTATATGTTGCTGCTGACAGAGAGCGGTTTTTGAAGCAAGTGGTAGGCTTAACAAGTTTACAACTTTTACAGTTTTCCTTTTTTATTCTGTTACTATCAAACGAGAACAATATGTGCATAATGGAAACACTTTTCTTTATTTAAATAATGTTCTTGCCTTTTTGCAACAATAGTTTCTTAATTTATGCACTTTTCTTGATAAAGAAAAACGATCTTGTCTTATTTTTTATGATATGTTATATGCTCTTGTAGAATATGAAAAACGATAACATAATATGTTGAATTATGTATACAGCTAGGTGACCGGTGCCAATTAAGTAGACGGCAACGGCACGCAATAGACCACACATCATCATACCGAGTAAAGTCTGCCAGATGTTCTGCTGATATAGATCCAGAGTATTTCTTCAACTGTGTAACCCTTGATTCAGAGTCTTCAAGGTTATCTTCAGACTGTCCCACAATGCCGTCCGACTATTCCACTTCTCGTCAAGAATCTTCGTACCAAGCGAAAATTACCGAGGAGCAAATGTTAAAGGCGATGGAATCAGCTGTACTTTGTAGCGAATATGGCAAGTTATATATGTTTTAGTCTGACGCAGATACTGTTTTAGTTTATTTATACATGTACAAAGATAAAAATATCGATTCTTTCCTTTGCAATATTTCAAGGTTTAAAATTCTCTATTTAGGTTTATTGTTTGAAGATATGTTACTATGAACTTGAACTGTTAGTCAAAGGAGAATACTTTCTTGGTGTACCAAAGCTAACTTTATAATGTATAATGCTATATATCTGTTACAAAAATAATCGTTTGAATTAAAAAAATACTGCCAAGATGTTTGTATGAAAGAAATATGGTAGTAAATTGCCTTTAAAACGAAAATCGAATGAACAAAAAAATCATTGCTAAACGGTTAAAAGCCTGATTGAAAAAGTAGCATAATATTTTGTTACAACTCTTCATCATATACTTACAAATGAAATATTGATAAAATGAAATGCTTATTTTCATTTTCCTTACTTTCACTGCAAACAAATATTTTTCACTGTAGTGAAATATATTTTCGTATTTTCACTGGTGTCTTGCCAGACTACTTTTTGCTATATTCAGCCAAATTAATTAAAGTCTTTCATATTGTGATGTCAAAAAGGAAAAAAATGTATATAATAAACAGAAAATTCAAGTATTTTCTATAAATACAGAATTTATTTTCATCTTGTGGTATGAAAATTATCATGTTGCACTCAATAAAAATAAATATTGCTTTTATTTATAGAAGAAACTTGGATATCCTCTATAAAGTGAATCGACCACCAGATTATGGAAACAGTATAATTTTACTGTTGAAATTTTTTTTTTTAAATATTTTATAAAATATTACTTTATACCCTTTAATAGGACTATGTCTAGCACTCGCACTGAGTTATAAATTTTTCATAGTATCCTTTATTTGAATCACTATCAGTTCTATAAAATTATGCTCTAGTCTGACCACACAGGTGTAGATGCTGGCCTAGCTTTATAACTGAGGGATATACCTACCCACATTATATCTATATCTGTCGCGAAACACAATGAGGTACAAATGTGAATGAAATTCTATCGATCAGTTTTCTTACATTTGCTAAATTTATTTCTAGGTGAACCTATGATGAAGTCTCAATACCTTATTGAACCGTCACAGCTTGTTCAAATCCTATACAGTGATTATGGCAGTTTGCATTTAGTTCGACATCCGACCGTCCGCCACAGTAAGACTGATTCACATTTGAGCCGCGTCACGACAATACCAACATAATGGGTTTGCGACCAGCATGGATCCAGACCAGGATCAGGATCCATGCTGTTCGCTATCAGTTTCACTACTTGTTATAGACTTTGTAAGCGAACAGCATGGATCCTGATCCTTGTCTGGATCCATGCTGGCCGCAAACCCATTATGTTGGTTTTGTCGTGACACGGCTCATTTCTTTTTTTATATTGTTACAGAAAAGCGGTTAAATGTCCAAAATATAACGGTAAAATATTCAACACTTCAATTGTTCGTAACGATATTATGGTCTAACAAAGCAATTGATATTCACGTATCTAAACATTGTCAGTAACGGTAGTCTAATAGCGTTACAAAACCACTGAGTTTCGCGATAAGGCAGCTCAATATGCTTTTTGTCTTTTACGGAAGCATAGTCAATAAACCTCTGATAGACACGACAGAAAAACAAACATTTTCGTTGCCAATTACGGTAGCACAGTCTAAAAACAATGGTTGACATCGTAAAACAGTCCAGCATTCCCGGTGTCCGATATTGAGGTATAGTTTCATTGAGTCCCGATCAACGCCCAACAAAAATCAGCTTTTCTGAATAAAAGAATAAACCTATAATATATTATGTGTTTGAACATGTTTCTAAATAGATTGAAATAAGTAACAACAATATTATCTTTGCAGAGTGGCTAAGGAGTTTGCTGGAGAAGCCAAAGATAGATATAGATACAATCAGAGTGTCAAAGCAAGTACTCTATGAAAGGATTGATATATCCAAGTTCAGAAAACCAGATGCTGTTCCTAGGAATAGAGGTCGAATGGTAAGGAGGGCTGGTGTCGTTGTCGAAAGACCTCCTAAACCAAAGTAAGTCTCCAATCACCAATGCAATTGATATACCTAATGAAAGCAATCCTATTACTGATAAAGTTAAATGTTGTTTAATTCCTCATGGAGATTTAAATATGAGCCGCGTCATGACAAAACCAACGTAATGCGTTTGCGACCAGCATGGATCCAGACCAGCCTGCGCATCCGCGCAGTCTGATCAGGATCCATGCTGTTCGCTTACCAACTCTATTACAAGTAGAGAAACTGATAGCGAACAGCATGGATCCTGATCAGACTGCGCGGTCGCGCAGGCTGGTCTGGATCCATGCTGGTCGCAAACGCACTATGTTGGTTTTGTCGTGACGCGACTCATTTATATCGTGACGTCACACTTAGTTGTATCTGTACACAATTGCGTCTATTGTACTGACAGATGAACAAAGTATCCAACATTTGCTAAATAAGTATCAAATATATTCAATATTAGAAACTGTTCTATCAAATTCTTAGCGAATATCTATATTTTATAGATGTGTACTTTAAAACATGTGCAAAAAATGTATGAAAATAACAAATGATCTATTGAACCCCTTGGCTTTAAATTCTTCCTCGTATTTCTGCAGATGTTAATGCACAAATATAGGGGCATTGACCCTCTTTTAAAACAAATAAATATAAGTATGTATATTATATGTGAGGAATAATTCATATAGTAGTTTCAATATTTAAGAACTTGATAAATCATTACAATTTCATTGTCAAATTGTGCTCTACAACTAAGTACATGTATTTTTATTCTTGGCTAGACGCAATAATATAATATCATGAAAAATTCTTCTCGTCTGATACAAAACCTGTACAAACAATCATCGCCTAGACAACAGGCATGTCATCATCGATACAGTTCTCTAGAAATTAAATAACCTTTGGGGTACTTCATTAATGTTTTCTCCTTTCTGCACTCATACCGATGGAAAACCGATATTTTCACACTGTCTTTTGTCGTTTATACAATATATTACAAAATAATGATGCTTTCTTTTTAATTATAAACAGAACTATTTATTATATACCTGAAACTCTTGCCACCTTTAGCACCTTCAGTCAAGATATCTTCATTATTTTTTTTCTCAGTTCCTTCAGATATGCTTAAAATGTTTATAATATAACAAGGTGAAACAAAAAACAAGTATATAGGATTGGTTAATGCAGCCGTTGCTTACTTACTAAGGGATCATATCACTTTCACACTTTGATGTATGTCATGTATATGCTAAAACTAAATTAACCGATTTCTTGTCTAATATTCATTTCTGTCGCGTTGTTTTAAACCAAGAGGTCGCTAAATGTCAGTTACAGTGCCGAAGTGACCCAGTATCAAATGCAATTAAATTAGGTAAGGAATTGATGACTTTTTCGAAGTTTTGTAAATATGGCCAAGAAATCTATTTATAATTACAGCATTAACTATGCCAAAATTTGTTTGTAGGTCATTGATAGAGGTGCTGACAACTCAAGTCCAGTTCGATTATTTCAAGAAATTTTTGACAATGCATAAAGTGACTCATCAGCCAATTTTGTTTTGGAAGGCTGTTGAAAAACTTCAGGAAATGAGTAATGGTAAACAACGACAGAGCCGGGTCACGCAGATATGTATAAAATTCTTCGGCAAACATGCCAAATATGGTAGGGCTGATTCACGTTTGTAAGACTAAATAACAAAATACGTCCAAGACAATGTAACTTTTGATTCTAATGGTTTGTCATAGGTATAAAATTATCTTTCATTTAAAATTGAAATTTTATCGTGAGATGTGCAGCGTGATTTTGTTTGGCAATAAAACCTATTTTTCGTCAACTATTTGATATTTTTAAAATTTTACAAGAACAACCAAATATATTGTTATTGTTTTTTTTTTCTATTTTAGTTATACTATTTGTAAACAAGACGTAACATATTAATTTGTTTTGTTGCTTGTACGTTACAAATATAATTTCTATAAATTTGTGACTAATTTAGTCGGTGAAGACGTGTTTATCTTTCGAGAAGTGATAGCTTGTTTGTCTACCCTTTTGTTAACTATTTCAAAGGACTGTCATATACACGTATGTGCTATTTTTTAAAAACAGCAATATGTTAAAATCAAAATCTTAGATTTTATAAGATTATCGAGGATAAACCAACCTTACAATTCTTTTACGACGTGTTTAAAATATTTTCTAAAGGTTTCTTTTTCTCGTTTTCATGTCATAATTTAAGTTCGTGATTTTTAAAGGTTCGGCTCTTCAATGCGATGACGAAATTATACGTCAAATACCACATTTAGAGAAAGTCACGCCGGGGATTTTAATGTGCGCTCAAGCTGCCGTATTTAGGACCATAGAACGAAAATGGTAAGAGTCCCGCTCTTGTATATGAATATATTTTGTAGTGAGATAAAATTATTCATGTCATTGTTACCATTTTCGGTAATTCAATCTATGCCGATCATTTCGGTAATTAAGTCAACATTCGTTTTATGCTAATCTATTCGGTAGAGCAAAAGCCAATCAGAACAAGGTCTTGTTTCACGTGACCATACTTAGCCAATCAGCGCACAGCTGATTCATATCGGCTTAATGTTTCTCACTTAAATCTTCTTCCATCTTATTTTTTGCACTGATTTTATTTGTCCGTTGGGTTGTCTTAGTAACAAGGGATAAAAACACTTAAGTGAAATCAATATTAACTGGTCTAGATCTGTACATTTAAATTCGTGCCGGTGAAATGCTAAATTCTTTCTTTATGAGATATTATTTGTATAATTCACATCTATCGCTTCTCCTAAACCTCATATTTCCCGCGGTAAAAAATAAACAAGATTTCCACTCGAATGTTGTTGTGTGTATTTCATTCAAGCAATTCGACTGATTTTATTTTGAGATTTAGTTCCTACTTAAGTTCGGTAAATAGGGCGTCCGTGGCCGAGTGGTTAAGGTCGTTGACTTCAAATCACTTGCCCCTCACCGCTGTGGGTTCGAATCCCGACAGGGACTTTGGATTCTTTCATGTGAGGAAGCTATCCAGCTAGCTTACAGAACGTCGGTGGTTCGACTTTCTGAACTATGCACGGAAGGGCACCTGAGGTCTTCCTCCACCAGTAAAGCTGGAACGTCGCGATATGACATATACTGTTTCGATGTGACGTAAAACCCAAAAACAAAAAACAAACAAGTTCGGTAAATCGTTTAATTTAAACAATTGTGACAGAAATGAATTAAATGTTGTTCATTTCACTTTACTTTCTGAAGTATGCATTCAATCATTTTATACATTTTTAAGTTTTCTATTTCATATCGTTCTCAATGCTATATTTCACCTATCATATGAACCACTATAAAACAAATGATAATAACGCGATACGAAGAGTTTTACTTTTGTCGTTCCAATGGCGATTTCAGACAAACATAAATGAAACTGTGTGCAGTATTTAGAAGCTGGTAAATGAACTGTCAAACATTGGAATCATGTCAGGTTTCAATATATAATTATACAACAGTTCATATTTCTGACAAAGTGTTGATATTTTGATGTAATGTTTCCTGTATGACGTATGTAACTAAGGAATTATATACATTTATGTCTGTATAGAACAATTAACAATGCACCATTGTTGATGGCATTGTAATGTTTACATACACCTATCATTTATATCATAGCACTGTTACATAGCCTGTTCGAACTTAGATAATGTAAGATCTAAATTTAGATGCATATAGAGCGGTTTACTGCGTAGTCGAGTACAGAGCGGTAAGCTAAGTGTAAAGCCGGTTCTTAGTTAGTTAATTTAAGAGTCGAATACAGAGCGATTAGCTAAGTGCAAAGCCGGTTCTTAGTTAGTTAATTTAAGAGTCGAGAACAGAGCGATAAGCTAAGTGCAAAGCCGTTTCTTAGTTAGTTAAGTTAAGAGTCGAGAACAGAGCGATTAGCTAAGTGCAAAGCCGGTTCTTAGTTAGTTAATTTAAGAGTCGAGAACAGAGCGATAAGCTAAGTGCAAAGCCGTTTCTTAGTTAATTAATTTAAGAGTCGAGAACAGAGCGATAAGCCAAGTGCAAAGCCGGTTCTTAGTTAGTTAATTTAAGAGTCGAGAACAGAGCGATTAGCTAAGTGCAAAGCCGTTTCTTAGTTAGTTAAGTTAAGAGTCGAGAACAGAGCGATTAGCTAAGTGCAAAGCCGGTTCTTAGTTAGTTAATTTAAGAGTCGAGAACAGAGCGATTAGCTAAGTGCAAAGCCCTTTCTTAGTAAGTTAAGTTAAGAGTCGAGAACAGAGCGATTAGCTAAGTGCAAAGCCGGTTCTTAGTTAATTAATTTAAGAGTCGAGAACAGAGCGATAAGCTAAGTGCAAAGCCGTTTCTTAGTTAATTTAAGAGTCGAGAACAGAGCGGTAAGCTAAGTGCAAAGCCGTTTCTTAGTTAATTTAAGAGTCGAGAACAGAGCGGTAAGCTAAGTGCAAAGCCGGTTCTTAGTTAGTTAATTTAAGAGTCGAGAACAGAGCGATTAGCTACGTTCAAAGCCGTTTCTTAGTCAGTTGATTTAAGAGTCGAGTACAGAGTAGTTATGGGGCTGTCACACCATGACGTTCTGGTCAGCGTTCTTTGACGTTTGAGAAAACGCTGGCAGTCGCCCATGGTTGCTGGGATAGCGCCAGAAGAACGTTGTGTGGACGTGGAAAGTGAACGTCGGTAATCGCAAAAATTAACGTGCACAAAAGTTTTTTCTCAGACTAATATGACAATGTGAGAAAGATGACAGCTACAGCTATCAGCAACACTTACAATTTATCATTACATTAATTTACTTTAAAACAAAATAAAACTTGAAAAAAGCCAAGCTGATTTTTATCTATGACATGGAATAATGATTTTGAAGCAATCTCGAAACATTTGCTTTAGTGCATCTCTCTGCCAGTTTGTTCTTACAGCATATACGAATGGATTTATTCCTGAATTTAGAATAAATATTGTATTAACTATGTATTTAATGTCCCTTGACATCTGTAAGCTCTCCATGCCGAATACTGCAATCAATGGTATGGTACAAATGTTGAAGATCATCACCAATGCACCAACTGTTTTAATAACATTCTGTTGTGCTCTAATGCTTGCACGATTATCGGTTATACTAGCTGTATTGTTGTGTTGAGTTGATCCTGGGAGTACTGAACGAGGAACTCTATTTATATCCACTTCCATTTCATTCACCTGAACGGGAATAACCTTCATCAAAATGCATCTTAGGCGCAAGCATAGAAATAAATAGAGTAAGTTTGTGAAAATGCATGGAACAAAAAACACAATGAATAGAAACCTTGCGGCGTTCCTGGCTTTCCCTTTAAATATTTCGATAAATTCACATTGCCTTAATGTCGTTTCCGGCCTTCCATACATGAATTGAAGCAAACAGTTAACAACAATACTTAAAATCCACGAAAATGCCACTAAAGCGATAGGAAAGCGGATGTCAGGTCTTTGTTCATTCATCCTATACGCTTTATTTATCAATATGCATCTGTGCACACATATTCCAAATATCTGATACAACGAAGCACACTGAGACCCGTAAAACAAGAAAAAGAACACTGAGCAAGTATCGTAATTCAAATCCCCGTTTAATAATGGTGATATTACGAATGGGAGGGTGGAAAATCCAACGAACATATCTGTGACGGACAAACACAAAACTTGAGTGGAAAAACTCGGCCATGTCTTTTTTCTGTTGATAATGAAGCACAACACAATAACACTGTTTGCTAGAAATGTCCACATAACGACGATGAGACCAGGAATAACTGCCGCCACACTGACGTCATCTATTTCGTCATCATATGTCTGGTTCTGTTCCAACATGTTCCATGTTCTATTCATAATTGACGATTTCAGTAACAAATTTTCCTTAAAACTTTTAGATCTATATATTCCATGGTTTAACCATAGGAGTGCTGCAAAAATACGAATTATTATTATTATTATTTTTTTACTCTTATTATCATAGATTTCTGGTGTCGTATAAAAACCAATACAGGAAAAATACCGCAACGTAATTCCTGGTTACCTATTAATGAAAGGTTTTATAAAAAACTAGAGGTGTTAATTGTAGCCTTTTCACTTATGACTGATACACGTTATCTTTAAATTAAATGGTCGAGTTTTTTTCTGTCTGAAAATCCTTCGCAACATAGTAGGATAATTGAAACTGCGTCACTTAAATTCTTGCGCACACTCAACAACACGTGGACCAGACTTGCTTAACTGGTTGGTTTTCTTGTCACAATTATCCATGCGCACGCACGCTAAATTCAAAAGAGATAGTAATCCAAGAGTCGATAGTTCGACCCTCTTGCGTGGCTAAGTTTCTATGGAATAACTGATTTCGGATATTGGGTCTGATGGTCGTTTGTCTCTAAGCGTTGGTGAGATTATTATTCTGTTGATTGCGGTTTATTACTGTTTTGTTATCCAAGAAAGCCGGTTAGGTTGTTCAACCGTCGAGATATAACCAAACCAAGACTACTATACTGACAGCTCGCTCCGCTTTACTCACTGTTAGGTAAATAGGAGCTTTATTCCGCAAAAATACCTACCTTAATAATCAACGACTATTTCAATTTTGAAGTGCTGTTGTTGTTGTTGTTTTGTTTTGTTTTTTAGAAAAAGAAAAAAGGCAATATTTACAATAAAAAGAGGAATAATTAATTTTTTTGAATATGTTCAGATTAAACAAGAATATTTTAAGTTTTAACTGATTTACTTTGGCAGTCTTTAAGAAATTAAGTGACCTTAAAAACAAAAGTAAAAAGTGGGAACATTTTGCAAAAATGAATTACAAAATAATCTGTCCTTAAAAAATATTCCAATTATAAATTAAACAAGTATTTCAAATTTGACTTAAATGGAGAAACTTTGACAACCTTTAAAATTTTGCCTTAGAAAAGATGAAAAATGGCAAACCATTGCTTCAATGTGTTTAGATAGATAGGTTATAGACCTAAACAAAAAGGTTAAGCAAGACTAACGACACTAACATTTTGTCAACTCCACATTGTTTTCGAACTAAATGGAGAATGTGTACTGTTTATATTTATCATTATTTGATATATGTTTTTTTTTTCTTTTTTCTTTATATTTTTTTTGTATTGGAAAACACTCAATGATTTATTTAAAAGTATAGCCAATTCAACTTCAGCATAAATATGCTACATTTTTACATGTTCACCATAAATTGGAAGAGTAATTATAATTGATGAAATGTATGTTCTGTAAATTATTTTTTTATTTATTATAAGTTTGATAGTGAGATGTTTTGCTATTGTTATCACATGTTACATACACAGAGTGCTTTTTTTCTGAATAGTTGAGAGATTGTCACAATTACTGGTGGACGACTGTACTTCCTGTACAGAGATCATGGCCTGGGGAGTCAATATTCTTTAAACATTGATGACCGCGCGTCATTTTCATTAAATAATACTGAATCCTCGGCCATAATGCTATACGACCCATTTTCCGTAAAATACTGCGAGCACAAAATGTCAACCTAATCACACGTAATAGAAATTAAATTACAACACTATCGAACTATTGCAAAACTTGTTTTTTTACTTGTTTCTTTCAGTAGCTCTGTTCATCTGAAAAGAAGGGTGTATTGAAAAAGAATACTGAGATCCCTGTCATGATCCTTTATAAAATGTGATCCTTTTTCTACATATACAAACTTACTTCTGCTGAAAAATTATTACCCAAGTTAAGCCATCTTATCTTAAACCTCTTTTATATTAAAAAAAGAACAAAAAAGCAAATAAATAAATAAATAAATAAATAAATGAATAAAAAGAACAAAACGAAAACAACAACAACATAGTCGTGACCCAAATAAGGCTATATATAAAGTCCCCTTCTTTGTAAACTTCAACCCTAATCTATCTATTGCTTAAAATTAGTACGAATTATCGACAAAAGGTAGTTTTGCTTCGGTGCTTATATATCTGCACAGTCCAATCCCCCCCCCCAAAAAAAACAAAAAAAAACAAACTTTGTTTGTAAAGATCATTCCACTTAAAGCTGCCCCATTCCATTTTAAAGCTGCTGCATTTAAGATAGTTATTGATCAAACTTAAAATTTCAGCTTGAAAAGGAAATTCTATTCTATTATAAAAATTCATAACAAAAAGGGTTACCTTTCTTTCAAAACGACAACAAATGACAGGGGGTCACTTTTTGGGCGTGGGGTTACTTTTCTTCGTGGGGGTCATTTTCATATAACATCATGACCCCCAGTATGTATCTTGTTAATGAATATTGAATCCTTGGTCATAGCATTATAACAAGTGGATCATAACATGATGACCTGAGGACTTAATTCTATCGGGGTCACTTTACTTCAATTCTATTGACAAATTAGATTTCTCTAACAATTATCCATGCGCATACTTACTGTTACGATTAAACCGCAACAATTCACGCGCATGCTTACAGACAATCTTAGATCATACTTCTTCGTCACAATAATTCATGTGCATGCTCACCGACATTCTTAAATCATACTCCCTCGTCACAAATAATTAACGCGCAGGTTCACCGACATTCTAAGATCATACTCCCTCGTCACAATAATTCACGCGCATGCTCATCGACATTCTTAGATCATATTTTCTCGTTACAGTAACTCACGCGCATGCTCAACATCATACTCCCTCGCCAAAATAATTCTAATTCATACGCATGCTCACCGACCGACATTCTTAGATCATACTCCCTCGTCAAAAATAATTCACTCGCATGTTTATCAGACTCCCTCGTCACAACAATTCACGCGTATGCTCACTGTCACTCTTAGATTATACTCCCTCGTCACAATAATTCACGCGTATGCTCACTGTCACTCTTAGATTATACTCCCTCGTTACAATAATTCACGCGTATGATCACGAGACAAATGATATTGAAATTACGTCACCAAGTAAATACTTTACTATTTTCCAAATGCAGCTTGCGCTGCGTAGAATTTGTTCATAGGGCATAGGGTAAAATCAGATGAAACATTTTTGTCAACATCATAGTGGTCACGATTTTAATTTGATATAAACTTTGTCAAAACGCTTGCCAATCCTTTATTTGTTATAGTTTTTGGTGTGCTATAAATGGAATACTTTATACAAATAGCTTTATTACTATTTTTTTAAATTAATTGAATAATATCTAGTGTTTAAAATAATATTTGTCATGTGCTCGCATAATATAATTTTATTCAACTCGTTCAATAAATAAATAAATGAATGAATGAATGAATGAATAAATGAATGAATGAATGAATGAATGAATGAATGAATGAATGAATGAATGAATGAATGAATGAATGAATGAATGAATGAATGGATGGATGGATGGATGGATGGATAAAATAAATAAATAAATAAATAAAAAAAAAAAATCCAACCTTCAATTCCAATAATCCGAACCAAACGTTGATATATCTTGGATATTGAATGCTACTAAAGGGTTGTTAGCCATTCCTTGCATTATTTATTACATGTGACAGCATTAGTATAACAGAAGATAGGAATATCAATATAAAAGTATATAATAAACAGAACATTCCAGTTTTTTCTATTTATACAGGATTTGTTTTCAGCTTGTGGTATGAAAATTATCACATTTCACTCACGGCTACTGCCACCCGTGAAATACTGATATTCATACCACTCTATGAAAATGAATCCTGTATTTAAAGAGAAACTTGAATATCGCCTTTATATTATATATTAACACTATATATATTTACAGTTACCAGTTTCACACATATATCATTATTATCTTGTATCATAGTTTGGGGACCATTCTGTTGAAAAAGTGTCAGAGTTAAATCGTATACATATACATGCACAGTGCGGTAACTGGAGTGCAGGTATCAGTTACCCGCACTCCAGATAATGCCCGTGGATTGGTTCATTTTTGCCGGGGTTTACATATTGTGACGGCAGAGAAAGGGAAAGGGGCAGAACTATCATATTCAAATGCTCGTTCATTGGTTAATTTATTCTGGGGTTTCATATTATGACAACAGGGAACGTGCTGTCATGTTTGACTATGATACAAAAGAGAAAGAACACCAAAACACTCGGCAATCTTTTATACTCGGGGGCTACGCCCCCTCGTACAAATCAGATAGCCTCGTGTTTCGGTGCTCTTTCTATTACTTAGCACGACACAATATACTGTGCGAAATTTACCTCACTCCTACATTGTTATGCTTTTGACAGTAATGTAGAACGTATAACTGCAAATGTTTTTTTGAAGAATGTCACATACCAAGCCCATGATCCATATGATTTCTGAAAACCTGTTTTTTTTCAGCACGTATTCTATATACTAAAGGTTACGTGGTATTTCAACATTAACTACGCCTTTTATTCAAGTGTATAAAGCTACATGTATATTTCTGCTGCTAGCAGTTTACAAATTTTTTGCTTCCATTTTGAAAAATACTTATGCTTAAATGCCTGTTTGAAAAAATGTCGGTATATATTTCCTTTTGAGTGAATTGTGCATGCACACAATCAAAATCATTGCTAAACGGTTAAAAATCTGAAAACAAAGTGATCCCTCGGAAGCATTAATCACAAAAAATTACAAGAGAATTGAATAAAACCTACTTAGCGGTATAATATTTTGTAAAGAAAAGGAAAACAACAGACAAACAAAAACACATTAAAACTACGATATTTATTGACTAATGGAAATTATCATGATACACTTTGAACGCAACACCTGAAGTGTGTTGTTACCTACCCACATTTGAGCCGCGTCATGACAAAACCAACATAATGGGTTTGCGACCAGCATGGATCCAGACCAGCCTGCGCATCCGCGTTTACAAACCCTATTGCAAGTAGAGAAACTGATAGCGAACAGCATGGATCCTGATCAGACTGCGCGGATGCGCAGACTGGTCTGGATCCATGCTGGTCGCAAACGCACAATGTTGGTTTTGTCATGACGCGGCTCATTTGTATATCTTATATCTAATGTATTTATTATTAGTTTTTTGTTAGCTTTGATGACGTTCTGATTTTGAATTTTCATGACAACAATACACTTGTTTCGACAGTATCAATAGGTTAGAGACACTAGGGAGTACTGGCGGAACTTGTAAAATAATATGCCTATTTATGCAAATATGTGATCATTATGCTGGCGCTAAAACTGACAAATTGAGACGTACAGACAAAAAGAAACAGAGACAGATGAACAGTCGTAGCTCGTGGTTATGAGTGAGACTAAAAAGGTTTCGAGCACCTCACTAAATACTGTACTCATGTACATACCGGACAAGACGCTTGAATTATTAAATGCTAAAATCCCGCCTTTTCACCGTACGGAATGAACTTTAAAACGTCTAATTTATCTTTTCACGCCGATTTATATACAATTATGAATGAAAAAGTAAGAATCGGCGGAAAAAAACCCCGATATTTGTCTTTTTTTGTGATCACGATTTCTGCAAGCGTTTAGAGGAACTGCCCCAATCCTGTATTGAGTTAAATCCATTAAGATTATTCTTACGTATATTTACAGGTACCCTATGTATTTAGATACTTTCCCTCCGGATTCCGCGAAATCTAAAGAGAATACCATAAGCTTTTCTTTAAGGACAGGTCTCGTAAAGAATTTCGAGGAGGCCGCAAAGTTAATTGACAGAACTAAGAAGGCCAAGAAACGCACACTTGGCAGTAGGCGAACGGTAATTAATAGAAAAATATTCTCCTACAAAAAAGTTCTTTGTTGTCATTGATATGTTATTGTACAATAATAGGATAAATTGTATTCTATGTGACTCTTAAATTTTTCTATAATATGTCACTTAATATGAGGAAAGAATTTATTCATTTATATTATTCTTTTATATATAATGCTTGTTTTCTGGTAACGTCATTTGTCTGCGTTTATGTAAACATAGTTGAGATCATTTCTCATAAAATGCAAAGATCATAAATGTATGAAACGTAAACAAAACATAAAAATGTTAACACAATCCTTTGGCCATTATTTTCAAAATGCTATCGATTGAAAAGAAACATATGCGAGCGCCTTTGGAATGCTTTCATTTATTTTTCATCATATTTTTCTTTATAGAATTTATATATACAATAATGGCATAACGAGACTCTTTTCATATAATTATATATACATATATTTATAATTTGATAGTTATTTGACGAACTCTTTTAGACTAGGTAGTATATAATCTATACAACGGGTAACCGGCGATGATATGTGCTTGACTTTTATATTTTTCTATTCCATACAAGCTGGCGCTGTGGAAGAACTTTTCATCAGCGCTAACAAGTTTTGTTAAAGCAACAAACTGTAGAACTGAGATGCAGTTATTTGAGATGTTCCTCAAGTACGAAGTAGAACGAGAGAAACAGGTGGCACCAAAAGAACCAACAAGTAAGTCTTCAACGCCTTATTGGTTTGTAAACAAATCATTTGTAGTACATGTCCTTATTTTGATATCATATGAAAACAAATGAATGATACATGCTTGTAAATTTGCTAAATAGAATAAGTTAAATTAAAACATAAGAAATGCATGTATATAGAAATACATGTACATGTTAACTTCCATCATTTTTTTCTAGAATAAGTGCGGTGCAGTTTTGATCCGAACCGCCGCAAACATATGTCAGATAGTTTTAATGTATATTGTACCGTATTCTATCATATTTTAAATTCTTTACCTTTATAAAGTAATTTTCAATGGAATTTTATATTATTACACCCGTAACTATTCTCTTACAACAGCGTCTGAAATTACAACTTCATTCATAGCGTCCAAATTACGTCATCCTTATCATGTCATTGTACAGCATGCGACTCATCTGGCAGTTCAACCCTGGCAGTTGTAATTCCCGGCATGGGTTAAAAACTAACGGAAACATCAGTCTGATATGCAAGAATAATGGGTTTTAAAGTACATTATCTTGTTTTCATTTTTTTTTGTTATATTCTTTTAGAATTGATACATAAATTATCTGTTTGAACTGGCTTCTTTTTTTTGCACAACTAATCTTTTGGTATATGCCTTTAGTACAATGAATCTTTTTACAGGTCAATTAGCTCAACACGACAGAAGTACAATGATGGCAAACGTGAGCACCAATGTCCAGACGAGAGTTGTCGTCTGCAACAGACTTATCAGTATGAACAGATTGCCGGCTGATTTAAGATTTTGGCTAGAGGTCAGAAAGTAAGTTGCGTTTGCCAATACAACACAAATAAACAAGTATCTAAAAAAATGGATGCACATTTTTTTTTTTTTGGAGAAAAAATTTGAAATATTCGGTTTCTGATCTGTTCATTCTGAACATGTATACGTTAAATTTGTAAATGATTTGAAAGTCAAACACACAAGCATTACCTAAAATGTCGTGGAAATCGAAATACCAATGGACATTTTTCATTTGATAATATGTTACAAAAGAAAATGTGCACTTGTTTACTTAGAAATTCTGGAGATCTACTTAAGCAAAATATCGGCAAGTTTGGTATCAAAATTTGCAGAAAAATATTGAACACAATGGCTTAATTAAGTTGTATTGAATTTGAATTTAATAGTAATCAGAAATTTGATTAAGTGTAAATAGCGGACGGGTGAACATTAAAAGTTGCAGATTGTCATTTTGTCTTGTAAGGAATTATTAACCTATAGCTCTTCAGCGCTTCTTATGTAAAATTCTTCCAAGTATAATTTCCAATAACCGTAAATCATACCATACCCAGACTATGGTATAATTTTCAGTTTTGAAGATCGAAGGAGTAAAGTGTTTCTGGGCGGAGCTATAGGTTAAAACAGATACACCATTGGTGCGTTGACGATTTCTGGGTTTGCGTAAATTATACCATAATCACGTGACCTTTCTTATGCCTTAACCTCACGAGACGAAGTCGTTTTAATTCTTCTAATTTTTAAATTATTTTTCTTTATTATAAAATTATATCCATCAAATTTAGCCGTCCAACTTATCCGACTTATTCGATACAAATGATTCCAGCACTTTAAGTCTTAAAAATTGAGTACCTCTCAAGCCGGTGCTAGAGGGCATGAAGGATATTACACTTTTCATTGTCCCTCATGTACAGGCTTAATCAAACCGGTTCTGCAATTTTCATGTTATTTTGTTGTGATTTATGTTTCCGAGGGATCGCTTTTTTTATCAGATTTTTTTTTGATTCTACGAACTGAAAACATACACCATATCCGAAAATGTGTTACCAAAATTCAATTCAAATTATTTGATCTATTTATCATATAAAAAATTAGTCATTACCATAAAGATAATATGTATTTTGTCTAAATTGCTAAATACCTCTATTTGGGCCTTTTAATATTGCCGAAATTCTACAACGCAATCATTTAAAGACTGTAATATACGCAATTACAAAGAGCAGAAGTTTTTCTACCCATTCTCTAGCGATTTAAAAGTCAGCAAATTTCTTATCATTATCAAATTTCAATTTAATGTACGTCATCGTGTTGTCAAAACATTTCTGCAAATTTTGATTCCAAATATGCCTATATTTTGCCGAAGTATACAAACATCCTTATTAACAAGTAACACTTTCTCAGTATGAGTGCAACTCGGCATATTTTCGTAAAACAGTAAATATCAACTGCATATTGCATAAATAATTTGAAGGAACAATTGCTATCACTTAAATTATCAACATGTTTTTTGTTACGACTATTGTCTGACTTACAAAAACATTACTATTACTTGCCAACGATCTAATAGTGACGAAAACCAAAAAGAGAATACATCATTGCAAAAGTGTCTGCAAACTCTAAAATTGTATTAATGCAATTTACATCATAATCAGATATGGCAATGCATATAGATACTTTGAACATTACATTCAAAGCTATATCAACAAAAAGAGTTTCGCATAATAAAATTTTCATGAAGTCGTTCTATAAAATTTTATACCAAATATATCATTATATCAGATCATGTATGTATAAATTTCAGGTATCAGTACCTCGTTGACAATGCCTCTCAGAGGAAGAGCGTTTCTACTCTAGAGACAGAATTCCTTATAGACAAAGCAAATTCTATTATATCCTGCTTTCTTTCCTCGGAAATATTACCGAGAGTACAGGTAAAATATATATATAATAAATAGTCAAGCATGAGTCTGTTACTCTTTTTGAATGTGTTGTTCATAAATAACACATTGCTTGTTATGTTAAAGAAAATTTAAAAAGTTTGTTTTGACAAGATAAAAAGAAACTGTTTATTGTTAAATTTTTATAAGTGTGGTGTTTAAGGTAAAATATTGTGTATTATTAAAATATGCACGGTAAAGTTAAATGTTGTGTACGTTCACATTCGGATTTCTTTATGTACATAGTGGGTATAAGGCAAGGGGAAGTAATTTCTCCCCTGATGTTTTCATTATTTGTAGAAGACATAGAATTGTATCTCCAAAATGATATTAATGTAGGTTTACACATTGATGATATAGTTATATTGTTATTATTATTTGGTGACGATATTGTAATACTAGGTAAAACACCAGAAGATCTGAGCGAACAAGTTTAGATAATCTTTACAATTATGCAACTGTTAGGGATAAGAAGTTTTACATTAAAAATAAAGGTAATGATTTTTAGGAAAAAAAGACAGGATGCCTACAAATGAAAACTGGTTCTACAATGGACAACAATTAAAAACAGTTGATAATTTTAACTAACCTTTTTCAATTTTACTGGCAATTTTGCTCGAAACCAGGAAAACGTAATTGGCAAAGGTCTTACGGCATTAAATATATTACTGTATAATTGTAAAATATATCATATAACACCTAAACTCAAATGCCAGCTGTCCGATTCATTTTCATTTGCAGGTACTATACTATCCTTAGTTGTTTCCCTTCTGAAGAATGGGTGGGGGCATTCTATAGCTAAAAAAGAAACTGAACGTATTCAACTTAGTTTTGAAATATGTTAAAATGTCAGAACAAGTACATATTATAATGCATGTATTATGGTGAACTAGAAAGGTGGCCACTATATGTTGCTAGTTTTGTTTAAGAAAAATGTTTTGTGTAAAACAATCCACACTGATAATATAATTACAGTAAACTTCACTTATAGCAAACACGGTTATAGCGAACTTCCGGTTATAGGGAACAATTTATTTTGGCCCGAATTTTGCCCTTCTTTGTTTAATATAAAAATATGGTTAAAGCGAACACGGTTTTAAATAAGGAATTATCGCTAATAAGGAACTCATTTCTTAGTCCCAATCTAGTTAAAAGTACAGAAAATTGCACTTTTATTACGAACTCTAAAATATTGGCTATCCGTAAATAGACATTCGTTTTCATTGGCACGGATTAAAACTCGGTCGAATGTACCGTTTATCGTTGTATGTACTTCAATACATCTATTAAAATGAATTTGTATAGTTTTCTATTTAGGATATTTTTAGCATGAGCTCTTTTCACCAAGATAAAACGGTTATTTATTTCTTTTCGTCAATAGTTTTGCTCGAGTAAAATAATTATAATAATTTATAATCGGTTTTCAACATAATCATGCATGCTTGCAATCTGCAATTTACGCTTGATTTAAATGAAAAGAAATCTTTATCTTCCATAAGTTAAAGTCACCCTTAAATTATAATAGAAGATATTCAAAATCTTGTTTATTCTCAATCATGGAAAGAAAACGAAAAGAGTTTAGAAACAAAATATTATATTTTATGAGAAATTGACATAGGGGGTAAATCTTAAACTGGAATAGCAATTATTTAAATTCCAAAAAGTACGCTCTCTGGTATTGTGTTAAAAATAGAAATATATGACTAATATTTCTTAATCAAATGCTCTTCAAAATGGCGGACAATGGTAAACAGTCAGTTCGTTATATGTAAATCTGTTCGCTATAAAAACTCCTGATACAAGGAACTAATTCGCTACAGTATATGCTTACAAGGAACTCCGGATATAAGAACAGATTTTGAATGTCCCAATGAGTTCAATATAAGCGAAGTTTACTGTATAAAAAAAATGTTTATGAGCAAAATGTTATTGATTGTGAACATATATACAATGAATGGGTTTCAAATGCTAAACGATTATTGTATACATATACTAGTAGTTTTCCTGATTGTTTTATGAATAGTGATTGTAGATTATTTCCTTGTATATTAAAACAAAGACTTATTGAACACGCAAGACGGGCATGGTTGCATGGGAAATAGTTGTTATATTTTAGATTTCTTTAGAATTTGCTTAACTAATATCATATGATATTTACCTTGACCTGCTAATAGTTGAAGAGTATGTTAAAAGAAAATAGGAGCAAAGCCAATTTTATTGCATCAATTCCCATATCTTTTATATAGATAAACGTTCCAAATGATTTGGCCTCAAACATAATCAGCAGTGTAGCCAGTGACGGTCCAAAACGAGGCTTATTTCACGACGCTTTTATTTTGATTTTTCCTGTTCTTTACCACTTTTATCGCAAGTATGAACTTTTTTTATCATCTTATTTATTAAACTTGCTCTGTCATGTTGGCGGTCAAAGCATACCACCACACTACATTATATATAGTGTACATGACTTTAGCATAAACAGCACATAGTTCTAAGTTCATCTTTCTTTTGCTGCATCTTAAAATCATCGCTATTAGCAAAGTTTTTCTTACCAAGTTTCTTTTTCCATTTTTTACTATCTTAGTCAAGTTTACGATGATTTTGTTCAAATATATATTTGTATTTATGTGACGATGACATATGCATTACATTTTGTTTTGTTTTCTATTGCTGTATGTCTGAACATTTACATCCGCGTTTAATTTAAATTTATAAATGTTAAGTACAAAACAGGAAAAAAAACCCAACACTCTATATAATGATGTATTCAAATTACTTTCTTCTTTTAAATTTTGTACCAATTCTTCTTTTATAGGTTCTCAAATGACTGGATGAAGGGTAACATACCGGATGACTATTTTGATTCGATAGAACAAACGCTTAATGATCACGTGTCAACTATCCCTCATCAGAATGCGGACGTCGTAGATTACACATCAATAGATACGGATAAAATTAAAAGAAGTACTTTTACGTCATTGGGTGAGTGCACTCTTACACACCAGATATTACTTCATGATGTAGCGATCAACAACTCGCGAAATGGTGTTTTATTTTTTTTTATTCTAGGTAAAGTTATCTCCCTTGGCGTTCAATTATGTGATGAAGATGAACGAATGAATAACAACTCTAATGAATATATTTTATTGATTTTACGTATTTTCATGGTAATATATAACCGATATAAAGTGTTGCTCACACTGTCAGTTATATATCATCATCTTCTAAACTTTTGTTAAAGGTATACAACTCGTCGTTCATTTTTCGCGTGGACTCCATAACTCCAACAGCAAAAACGAGAGGCGAGTTGTATACCTTTACTAAATATATATGTAGTGTATCGTTTTTGCGGTGTATAAAGGAAATAAATGCACCAAATATTAAAACATATTCGAAATGAAAAATACCGCAGTTGACGGTAGGATATAGACATAGAGTTTCTTATACACAGGATTTGGTAGGTAAATGACGTAAAATAAGTCTACTATATTGTGACAACGACCACAAAATCACTGTATTTCACTTATTATTAAACACAAATAATTAGGTTATATCTTGGCCCAATAAGCCGTTATATGCTAATAAGCGGAAGGGGTTAATATGATGCGTGAATGCTTATAGCCTCGTAAATCATTTGAGCCGCGTCACGACAAAACCAACATAATGGGTTTGCGACCAGCATGGATCCAGACCAGCCTGCGCATCCGCGCAGTCTGATCAGGATCCATGCTGTTCGCTTACAGACCCTTTAACAAGTAGAGAAACTGATAGCGAACAGCATGGATCCTGATCAGACTGCGCAGATGCGCAGGCTGGTCTGGATCCATGCTGGTCGCAAACCCATTATGTTGGTTTTGTCGTGACACGGCTCATTTAATCTTACCGTAAACCTCCTCAGCTATTACATAAAATATGTTTTTAGCAACCCACGTCATAACCGTTAGGGGTCGCGGCGAATTTTTACATATGTACAAAAAGACATAGACGATGAAAGGGGCTTATCAAGAAATGCGGTGTTCATTATTAAAAACTAATTATTTTTCATTTGATGTTCAGTGGCTATATTCTTTCGATATGATACTTTCTATATTGAAAAAATAATACAAATACGTTGAAAGGGCAACATTCAAAATGGAAGCATAGGATAGAAATTATCAAAACAAACAAAACTTCTTAGAATAATTTGTACCAGAAGTTAATGATTGCATCCGATTACATGATTAAACTTTCTTATATGAGCATACGTTTGCATAAGATATCGTTTTACATGTGCTTTTATATAAACCGAAATTTTACGAACGTGTGTAAAAATGAAACACGAAAGGTTATATTTTGATAATGTCTTGTCCATGTATCAAAGTGAGGCGTTTTCTTGAAATTATCGATTCTTTCATGAATGTCCAACAATGAAAAGAAAACAAAAATGCCGAACATTGCTTTCCATTTACTTTTTCAAGAATTTTGCAATTTCGATTTGTATAAGTTGTTATATGACATGTATATATAGTAAGAAAAGAATAATAAGTGACAGAAGCCCATGTGATTGATACTTCAACACGACTACCCTATTGTCTATTGTTTACTAAGTTATGTAACCGTTTTAAGGTCGTTTTACATATACAAGCCATTTACAGCGTTATGTTAATTAGCAGAATGATTTTATATTCACAGACGACAATACTATGAAATTACGCTTCTCACTATCTGAGGGTATCACGCTGTTATATCCCCAAGTCCAAGGTAATAAATCGCAAACAAAACATAGCATACACACGCTTCACGAAGAAACGTCTCAACATAGAGACAGCAAAGGTGGTCATGGCGATAAGAAGGCTAGCAAACATTCCCTGAAGAGCGGAGATAAGCGCCAAAATAATTTAGATGGAAAGAAATCAGGTGAAAATGTTAAAGACAGAAAGAAATCTGCGAAAATCGTGGTGAAAGAATCCGACCAAAGTCCACAAGGTGGTGATAAAGAAAGACATGGGTCGATTGATAAAGCCAGAAGATTGAGTTTTCTTATTGATTCCTTGAATAAGGAGAAAGAGGCAAAGATAAAAGAGCAGAATCGTCTTTTTAGCAAGCTAATGTCATTTAATGAAGTAGTATCGGCAGCTTTAGCAGAACTGTCGGAGCCGAGTTCAGCACTGTCTGTAAATGAAAGTTCTATAGTTAAGTCCTAAATCGTATTATCTTTAATATCGACATGTATAGTGTTTAACAAGCAAACTAATATGTAGTGATTTTCCCTTAATATGTCTTTAAAATTAGGTTGTCTTAATGTTTATACATTTTTTCTAAATACTTGTATATTTGTTTTAACACAACTGTTTTCAATGTGACAATAGTAAAACATGTAAATAAATCTTGAAATCATAACTTCTTTGCATTGGTCAATGTTTAATTTTATTGTACTTTATTTGTGTTTTAGATAATTGTTTTTAAGATTTGGTTGAACCAATCAGCTGGAAGTTTAAATTGATTATTTGAATCCCGTATTCAAAATACCAAGGTATATGAAAAATGGACGTTTCTTTTACCAATCATATACTATTTCTGTACAATTTCAAGTGTGTGTAAAGGGTAACTTCGTACATTCCCGTCCGAGAAATAACCCTGGCTGTTAGGATATCGACTGCTTTTAGTAGGATATTCAGCAGCTAAATGAATTTAATATTTGCAGTACACCTTTAGACATGTTTATTCCAAACGTAAAAAAAAAACATACGATGAAACTCAGTAGTAGTACTACAAGTACGTCAGGAGATGTAAGGATATACAATATACTGGATCGGACGATGAACAGTTTGATATTTAAAGTGACATTAAAACAAATGTATTTCCATCCAAGTGTAATACATGTAGACGGGTTTGATTTTCAGAAAAGAGCCTCCGTTAAGAGTCTAACGGCATTATTTTAGTACAAGCAGGTAGTCAATCGTTCTTACATAATTCGGGTACGCTGAAGCCATTTTTTGCTCTACCACGGCTGTACTTGAAGTCCTTGACCTTCTGAAGGTCAAATCAAAATGGCCGCCATTGTCCTCTACCATCTACTTAAAAAATTATCATTTCTGGTACATATCGTATCGTATGTCCGTTAATCTGCATGAAATCAAGTTTCAATTACTTTTAAGAATAATTGGCTGATAATTATTCATGCTTTACACATTGACTGCAATGCCGGCCATCTTTGATTTCAAAATGGACACCCTTTTTAACAAATATAAGTAATTTAAGTGCTTTTAAACAAATGGATCCTTCTGTAGGAATGTGTATCAATAATTGTATAATGACGTGAGCAACATTTCATGTCGAATTGTACACACTGTGTAGGTATACTGCACACTTTAATTTATATCATTATTTCAAACTATCACAGGTCATTCTTTTTGGACAATTTATCTTTATCAGGTATCTAAGATCCCAAATGTCTTACATAAAACCTGCACATTTTAATTTACCATTAGATGTTTAAGTTTTCTTTATTTTAATAGAATAGCATTTGTGTAAACCTTTATGGACTCTAGATCATTTATAATTTGAATGCCAAGAGTCAAGGTCAATATGTAAATATTTTAAAAATTGTCTGTGATCTTCATAGGTCAGCGACTATGTCTTTGAGCCCGCATGTCTTTGCAACAATATCTATTGTACGACCCGATTAAAAATAGAAAAAAAACAACAACAACAGAATCCCTAAAAAGGATCAAAACGGCAAAATTGAAAACGGTGTAGGCTCAATTTGATTGAGCCTGTACATGGACGTTACTGGAAATTGCAAGGTACCGTCCAAGCACCCTAGCACCGGCCTAAACAAAATTCATATATCAAAGGGGGAAATTGTGAAATTTGGAATTTAGAAACATGCGCAGATGTGTTTATACGATATGTTTAATTGTTGTATTGATATAGCTACTTTATAAAGTTTATAAAATCAAACTTTAAACATGCCTAGACATGGTTAAAAACAGATAATCTATTTATTATTTGAAATAAACTCAAATGAATGGTAAAGTCATTTTAATCTTTATTATCTTTCACTTTGAAAAGAAGTCTCGCAAACATGAACCATAAACAGTCTACGAGCTTGCACTGTCTTATGGTTAATGAATAATATAGAGTAAAACATCATAGGTCTACCGCGGGTATTTGATGATAGTACATACATAGAAGATTAGACAGTTAATTGATACCAATTCTGCAATTAATATATTGACGATTTACTGCTGTTTACCCCTTATTATTAACACAGAATGATTTGATACAGCATTTTGGTTTTTTGCTACTTAATCATGTTAAATATATGCCGTCGAAGCCTATGTCTTTAAATTTTATTAAATTAACTGAAAATACGATTTTTTGCGTTTTGTCTTTATTCATTGGTATGTATTCATTGTCTTAGTTAATATCAACGTCTACATTATAATTATGTCACTTTGTCAAGGACGCTGCGCCTTATTCTATCTCATGTTTTAATATCATTCAAGTGACTAAGATATATTCAAATCTTCATACTTATTTTGTTCTTGGCTATCTTTCAAGAAATTGATGAGTATCTTATTCCATTATGATATAACATATTATTGATGTCATTTGCCACAATATAATTATTTTATCTCATATTTTTTCAGCTATCACTCCATAAAATTACTTTGGTTTTTCTTAGTGTAATTTTAGTCACTAAAATGTATACCAACTTTTTTTGCACTATCCTGACAATTATGTAAAACAAAGATAAACAAGGGCGTGCCACTTGAAGTGTCTCCGAAGGGATGCATTACTTTTGTTGCTGGGTCGTGTTGGGGTGGCGTTCATTGAACGCCACCTTTCCTTGTTAATCTTGTTTTCCATTTTATTACATTGAAGGCATGGTTACTTTAGTCTTACAAGTTTTACAAAAAATAGAAAAATTAAGAAGCATTTATTTATGTTTTCATTATTTCTCATTATTTTAAAAAGCATCCATGAATAAATGACAAAGATATAGACACAACCATCAATGTTCTAAATTGACCTATCTAGCTATCAACCTAGTGTTTAAACATTACAAGTAGTCCTAATGTGCCACAAATGTATGCCTAGTTACGCCAATAGCCATCCAATGAATGACAGAATTCATGACCGGACATGACCTTCAAAGTATTTATATGAAATGAAATTGTTGACCGGGTTCCCCACTAATGAACTTTTACAAAATTGTCTTTCTTAATAGACATGACCCTGATCTTTGGACTGTTGAATTAGCTCTCAAGCACGACAAGTCCCAGTACATGTTCTTGCGCAATTGACATTGACATAAGAAATAACTAAACACTTTTCATGGTATCCCTGTTTGAAGAATAAGTAATACTATAAGGGACATCATTCCTAATCCTATATAGGCCGTATATTTATGCTTAACTATTTCAAAATCCATCTCTTAATGACAGAATACTAAAATGCACATCTTTTTTTAAGCACTTTCAAGTCTAACTTTAGGAGTTGAGCTTCAAACCTGGGTCTTTCTAATGACATTGTATCAATGTGACACACATTATTGCAATTTATTTCCAAATATATCCAAAAATGACAGATATGGACGGGATTAAAAACGGGCAGACAGGAACAAGCTCTTACTGAGAGATTTGTAAAGATGTCTGTTATCTTCATGTTTGTTTCTTAGTCAAAAAGCAGCCTTTTGCCTCCCATAACCAATGATTCATCCTATAGGTCGGGGTTATACGGAATTAATCTTAACGCCAAATTGTGATCGCAAATACCCTTTACTGACACAAGAGGACGCTCGGACAGATAGACAGACGGACAGACATTTGAGCAGGTCCCCCCTCAGGGCGATACAAATCGAATTTAAAAAACATTGCAATTATTTTTAAAAAACATGCATTGTATTCTTAGAAGTATATAAATTACATCTAAATGACAAGGTGAACGCAGTTATGACTCTCATTTACGTTGTATTAGGGTATAAATTGTGACCTTTTTGCACCATAAAGTTTGTAATTTTAATGGATGTTTTTCAAAGTCTGCGCTTGGAAGTCTTACTTAGTATCACTGCACTTCTAATAAAAGAAAACATGCCTAGTAATATGCCTTCTTGTGCTTCTTTACTTTAATTATAATACAATGTATAAAACTTAGGAAATTGTCAGCCATTTTGAAATCCAAGATGGCTGCCGCAATATTTTTTGTTTGTTTTTGCATCTATTCTTCTCAACAACACTTTAGCAGACTAAAATTAACAAAGCCTTAAATTAAAATGCCAAAAAAAAAGTATATATCTCGCCCACGAGAGAATTAAAGTAAAATTAAAAAAGTCAATGGCGGCCATTTTGAAATTGATTTTTAAAGGTCAAGGACTAAAAATACAGCCGTGGTAGAGCAAAAAATGAATTCAGCGTACTCGAAATAGGTAAGTAAGCCCAACTACCTGCTTGTACTAAAAAATGCCGTTAGGATGAACATTTTCCCAAAATCAAACCAGTCTATAAATGGTACTAGAAATGGTCAAAATAACTTTTGTCATATTTTTTTTTCTATTCACTATTTTGTTGCACATAAACAATCAATAACTTACGTGACCCATGGGAATTTCTACAAGTTTGTTCCTTTAAAAAGAAGCATGTGAGAGGACTTTTTGCTGCTGAGGAAGAATTGTTTAATGCGAAAACAAAATGGGGATATTTTTGCATAAAAGACACAATGAATTGTTAAAATTACAAATATTTAACAAAAAAGAATTTATTATATATATTGTATATAGTATCATAATGAAAGTTTGTTTAATACATGTTTTGAAAGACTATATGCCGGAGAAATAGACTTTTTTCGTGGCGCATTAGGGATATTTTTTCTACAATGGGAATTAAATTTATAATAAACGATATATATATATTAAAAGTAGTATCAAAATAAAAGTTTCTTGCAAAATTCAATAAGCAAATTTTCGGTTAATGTTTTGGTAAGTATATGGATACATTTCCTCTACATTTTCCAAAACGGGCATAAAGTATGTTAATCAAACAATTCAAACAAGTGCAGGATTTACATAAAAAATGTTTATATCATTTCATTGGAATGAACAGTATATAAAGCTGCATGCCGTCATGGAGCTTAATATCTGTGATGCCGTCAACCACAATATTTGAAGAAAATCAAACTTGAGTAAAATTTGTACCATTTGCGCCAAATTATCTCCGTTGCGTTATTTAGTCATACCGATTCAAAACGTTAAGGAGCAGCAAAGTTTCGGTACACGGTTCACTCGGTCATATAATGGTGCATGATAATATTGTAGCTATAATGTTCACTGTTACTATTTATCGGAAATGAAATAGCGAAACGCTATTCAGAAAACAATACGGTAATCGATTTATACA